CCGTCGCTGTCGGAATCAAGTGTCGTTCATTTGAAATGGCAAAATGTGTTTGGAAAAGCAAATCGGCCTTTGGACACACAAATGACAGCGCGCTCACTGCATCGGCTCGGAGACGTTAGCTCCAGTAAGAACACGGAGGCTTTCGCGAACCCGGCTTCTGTCAGCCTGATGATGCCGGCCGTAATTACTGGCGAAACGTCGTACTCTCGGATTGTAAATGTCGTGGATTTGCTCTCAGTGTGCTGTGCGAGTCACGATTCATATCCTTGGTTCTTTCGGTAAAGTCACGTAGAAGGGAAATAATAAATAAGATTTTATTGTTTAATTTTTGTTGTCACCCCAACCCCACATTCACGTCGCCTCTCGGCCTTTGCTACCCACTGCTGCCTGCTGCCCACTGCTGCCCTGTAAGTCGATTGACGTCGTTTCGATATTCGCCGTTGTGCCTTTCAGGAGCTCATCCCCGACGTCGAAGACCGGGGATTTGGGGGCACCACAGTGGTGAGATGTTTACTACCTCGCCTGGTCTACAGGTCGTGGGTTCGATCCCGTCCCTGGCGCCTGCTGCTGTGTATTTGGAGTTTGCGTCTCTCTCTCATCATCATCACGGTGGCCAGGAGATATTAACTACCTCGCCTGATGCACAGGAGGTCGTGGGTTCGATCCCGACCCTGATGTATATTTGGAGTTTGCGTGTCTCTCCCTCCCCGTGGTGAGATGTTAGCTACCTCACTTGGTATACAGGAGGTCATGGGTTTGATCCCGACCCTGACGCCTGCTGTGTATTTGGAGTTCGTGTGTCTCTCTCATCATCACGGTGGATAGATGTTAACTACCTCGCCTGGTATACAGGAGGTCATGGGTTTGATCCCGACCCTGACACCTGCTGTGTATTTGGAGTTCGCGTGTCTCTCTCTCTCTCCCCGTGGTGATCGCGTGGATCTTTCTCCGGGTTCCTCCGGTTTTTCCTTCCGCATTTTTGAAGCACGCGACTCACCGTCGTCTCACCTTCCAGGAATTCACCGCCCGACGGCGTAAGCCGGGGTATGATCGCCGTGCCAGTTGAGTGCGGCCAAGATACAGAAGTTTTCCATCAAATAGGGGTTTTTTTTTTGGGGTTAGATCGCGTAAATATAAATGTGTCATTAAACCCGCCACCACCCGACACAGCTAATCAGGAAGGGTTTGTCACGTGAACAGACCGTGCCAATTAGTTAACCGCTTCAGCACACCCGATAGTGGCATTGTGTTTGTGCTGTTCGCCTTTGGGCGTTCTCTGGTCTAACATCGGTTGAGATTAGGCCCTAAAGAAGGCTGTCTCTGGTGTAGACCAATCAGACGCGATTCCTTGCAAAAGGTTTCTGTTCGGTGTTTGAACATCTTAGCACAGCTGTTTTATTGCCAGAAAGCGTGAAACCTATTCTCATACCGGAGATTAAACCCACCACGACATTTACAATTCGTTTCGCCGGCAATTACAGAAGTTTGCGGGCAGATTCCAAGTTGTAGGGAGTGAAGCGTCACGCCACGCAAAGTGAAGTCGCGGACTTTTACGAAGTACGGCACACGACCGAGTCAGGCCTGGGTGTAACAGGAACCACCACTCACTGTATTCACATCAAGTACAACGGCGGAAGCGTCAAATACCCACAGAGGCTAGAACCACAGTGATCAAGCAACACGTGTGACGGTAAAAAACATATATAGACATATTGAAAACGGGTTAGATACTAGATTAAATTATTGAAACCAAAGCATACCATCTGGCCAGACGTATATACAACGCAATGAACCATCGTGCCCCAGGCCAGAGGTCGCAAACGGGTTTTGATTCCTTACCGTACCCTTACCTGGCCGCACCAGGGTCGCAAACGGGTACCCGTACCCGGCCGGGTAGCCTACCCGGGTTACGGGTAGGGTACGGGTATCGGGTACCCGATTGCGACCTCTGGGATGAAGCCATGTTGCAGGCGCGGGTGGGTTGATTCTAGGAACTTGAATTGTAAGAGACAAGACGTTGGGAAATGAGTGACAAACGGTTACCCACCAGTGACTCACGGCCTGCACGTACCCGTACCGGCCGCAACCAGGTCGCAAACGGGTACCCTTAGGCCCGGCTGGGTACGGGTAGCCGGGTATCCGGTAGGTACGGGTAGGGTACGGGTATCGGGTACCCCGGTTGCGACCTCGCCCTAGGCTACATCATTGACATGGTTCAACCCCCATGTGTCCCCTCAAGTTCCCTAAGATCTGGGGATGCAGATCTTCTCTCTGCATTCCCAGGTCGAAGCTGTCGGTCTGTGGGCGACGGAGATGTTCCCCGTGTAGCCACCAGGCGATGGAACGCTCTTCCACGAGGTATCAAGAGTCTTTGGACATTTTTGAATTGCGCCTACAAACCTAAATTTAATAAGCTTCCGCTTATAGAACTTTTAGCGAATTTAGGGAATTATTTTTTTTATGAATTTATAATATTATTTTCATGCCCGGTGTCTGTTGTTGATGTGTCATGTACAATGCTTCGAGATCCTTGATGAAAATCGCTCTATAATGTCATTGTTATTACAAAACCTTTATCCGATAAGCGGAGCATTTAGCTGCATTTCATTCCATTTGTTTTTCATTCCTTTTTACAAATTTGCTGTTTTCCCGTGCTTTGGTTCAAATTCCGTTTGTTCCGATAGCTCAAACCGTGACCGATTCTCCGCTGGCCACATCCTAGCCGAGCCGGCACGGTCACGGCACGTGTGGTTATCCACTGGCTGCTTGCCGGGCAGATCCAGAACCAAACCCCCAATAAGTGCCACGTGCGTCTCCGGTCGCTCAACCGCGTGTGTGATGTCAGTACGTGGCAATGTCAGTCGGTACGTGGTGAGGACGTGTCACCGTTGTCGCCCACGCGCATCTCGGCTCGCTCACCGCGTCACCCACAGAGCGTCTCCGCTCGCTCACCGCGTGTGTGATGTCAGTCGGTACGCGGTGAGGACGTGTCACCGCGTCACCCACACGCGTCCCTGCTCGCTCACCGCGCGCGCCAAGCCGGTCTGTACGCGGTGAGGACGCGTCATCCCGTTGCCGCGTCGGGCCGGCTCAGCACGGCCCCGGCACGGCTCGGTTGTGCAGTGGAAAACCGAAATATACGTGTAAAAAAAAAAACTTTTTCAACGACTGAGCATTCCGGATGCGAAGTCGCCACGGGTCGGGGGGGGGGACCGGCGGCACCGTCACACGGGCGGAGCGCGCCCGCACGGGCGAGCTGGCGAGCGGAGCCGCGTCGCCGAACACGTTGCGTAGGAGGTCTTGAGGAAGTGCACGTAGCTCTGCATGCTGCGGTTCGTCGTCTCGGACTGCTCCAGGCGGTCGCGCAGGTCCTGCAGGCGGCTCGCGTGCCGACGCTCCGCCTGGGGGGGCGGCGGGGGGGGGGGGCAGCCATCAGCTACCGCGCCTTGAGAGCCGTGGGGCGTACGCGTGTGTGACGCTACGCAATCTCGTGGCAATGGGGGATCTAAACTATGGAACTGTTCACGATTTACAAACGGCAGATTAAAGTATGAAAGTAAACTAATCAATTCTTGATAATTGGTTTTTACCCTTTTATCTGGCAACAAAACTGACACCTTTTTTATAAGGAGTCATGTTTGCATAGACCACAATAGCTGCAGTCGTAATGCAAAAAAAAACATAACTCTGATAATGTATGCACTGTCCTTGAAGTTGATTGGTCCACACCCGAGACAGCTTTCCTTAGAGCCTAGTCTCACATGGTGTTGGACCAGATGACGCCAAAAGGCGCATTACGACTGCAGGTATTGTGGTCTATGCAAACATGACTCCTTGTAAAAAAGGTGTCAGTTTTGTTGCCAGATAAAAGGGTAAAAAAACAATTATCATATTTTTCTACTGGCAAATGAGGTTCCAATGGTGTAAACAATTCTTGTTTAACGTAGGTAAGGCCCCACCGCACTGTGCCGGCCTTCATAGGCGCTGCTCGCTAACAGCGCTCATACCAAGATTCTGTTCAAGGCTACAAGGGGGATATTTGTCTGTTGATCTTTATTTGCCTGTGTCTGTGTGTGTATATGCGGTAGTGTAGCGTGTAGTGCGCTGTGCTACGAACCAGGCGACCCGAGTTCGATTATCTGAACTGGTCCTGGGCCCCCCCTAGTCAAACGAGTACCTAGTGCGGTGTGTAAAACAGCCATAAACTATTTTCTATTTACCAGCTAAAGGCTCCACTAAGCTGCATAGCGCTTTTTAACAAGCGACGTGGCCACACGCAATGATAGCTCAACGGAAGTGGCTTCTCACCGCGGAGACATTTACAGGATCTACTACTGCAAAGGGCCGTGCCGCGAATTCCTCCGTGCGCGGAGTTTGCTCTGCGCCGCGTTCGCGCGTGCGAGTGCACCCAGCATGGCACAAGCGCCGTGGTGACGTCACCGCCGCTCGGTGGTGAACGGCGGCGGTTGTTGTTGTGAGCGGGGAGCGGTGGAGCAGCTGTTAGCGCGCTGCGCTACGAACCCGGCCACCCGGGTTCGATTCCCGCTCATGGCCAACCAATGCCAGTAACAATAATCTGAACCAGTCCTGGGGCCTCGCCAATGTCGAATCGACCTCAAATGAGTACCTGGTGGCGGCGTGTAGTAAACATCGCCACTGGGGAGACAAAGGCGGCCGGGCGGGCGTGGTGCTCGCCACCCACCCCCATCGTGTGTCGTGCCGGCCTTCGTGAGGCGCTGCTACTCGCGAACAGCGCTTGCCCCAAAAGTCTGGTAAGGCTACACGGCGTGGGGGGGAACCTTTGTCTTTGTGGCGAACACCGGCTGCTCATATCCGCAACGCCGGTGCACAGTGCAAACACGGAATAATCACGGAAGCCAGAGCGTAACAACATCCGGCAAGCGCTGGAGCTGGCGTCACGTGGGCTGGGGACGTCACTGCGACGTCGCGGCACCGCCGGCAATGTTGACCGCACGGCGACAGATGCAGCCGCGTCGTAGAATAACAAACGGCTCCAATTGTGAACGGAGGAGAGTTTCGCCGAGTCCCAAGAGGGTGCTGCTGGTGCCACATTGGGGTCGCGTGGCCCGTGAGCTCCACGAGTAATAGATGGTTCGTGTGGGAGGAGGATCCCGGAGACAACCCAGGAGACGCCGGTACAGCGAAACGTGGAGAAATCTCCATCTGTCCCATTTGTAATGTGTTGAGTGCTGCCCCCTACGCAGGCGTGTGGGTTTTCTATGGGTGCTCCCGTTTCCTACCTTCTTTGTTGGCCTTCCCCCGTACCTCTCACGAGCGTGGTTGGGTACGTAGGGTGCGAAAGAAGTTCAACATACATCCACACTGCCCATAGACTAACACTGTCCATAAACTCAACACTGTCCATAAACTAAACACTGCCCATAGACTCAACACTACCCATAGACTCAACACTGCCCATAGACTCAACACTACCCATAGACTCAACACTGCCCATAGACTCAATACTGCACGTCCAATTAGCACAGTTGGCTACTTGTAGCACAACGTACATACATACTGAGGCATCCTCTACGCGCCTCTCGTGTGCTGCGGATTGCTCTGCGCCTGCATGAATGACGCTACCGTGTAAACACACGACATCATCATTCTTATTCCTGCTGTTGTTGTTGCAATAATATTATTACTACGGGACACAAAGCTGTCTGTCGTACCACCTGCTCTGTCTGAGCGTGTTAACGAGCGTTTGCTACCTGCGATTACTGCCAAGGGCCCCATTCTGGCGAGGAGATGTTAACTCCCTCGCCTGGTATGCAGGAGGCCGTAGGTTCGATCCCGACCCTGACGCCTGCTGCTGTATATTTGGAGATTGCGTGTCTCTCTCTCTCATCATCATCACGGTGGCTAAAAGATGTTAACTACCTCACCTGGTATGCAGGAGGTCGTAGGTTCGATCCCGACCCTGACGCCTGCTGCTGTATATTTGGAGATTGCGTGTCTCTGTCTCTCATCATCATCACGGTGGCTAGGAGATGTTAACTACCTCGCCTGGTGTACAGGATGTCGTGGGTTTGATCCTGACCCCTGCTGTATATGTGGAGTTTGCGTGTGTCTCTCTCTCTCTCCCTGTTGTGGTCGCGTGGATTTTTCTCCAGGCCCTCCGGTTTTTCCCACTTCGTTGAGCTATCCTTCGTGGTTAAATAACCAATAGTTCATCGTTTTAAATATGAGTTTTGCGCCTCACTGCTCCCAGCTCGGAGCCGTTTAACCAAATCGCCGGCCCTCCGGCCGGACGTGTTGCTGGCCACGCACCCCCTCGTGTGCCACAGCGCCGGCCTTCGTAGGCGCTGCTACTCGCTAACAGCACTTGCCCCTACAGTCTGTTAAGGCTATACGGGGAGGTGGGTATCTTTGTCTTTCACTCGTTGCTGCAATGTGGCGGTTGTGGAGAGAGTGGAGCAGTTCCCATAATTCGTGGAAGTGCGCTCACGGCGAGCTCCGGTTTGGCGGCGGAGATCGCACTTCGAATCTGTCAAGTGGCATTATCTTCTCGTTGGCTGCGTAAGTAACGGCTGTGTGGAAGCTGCCTAGCCTGTGGCTGCAAACGAAGACTAGGCTCTTCTCTTTGTGTGTGCGTGTGTGTGTGTGCGCGCGAGCGTGTGCGCGTGTGCGTGCGTGCGCGTATGTGTGTGCGTGTGTGAGCGTGTGTGTGTGTGCGTGTGTGTGCATGTGTGCGCGTGTGTGTGTACGCGTGTGTGAGCGTGTTTGTGCATGTGCGTGTGTGTGCGAGCGTGTGTGTGTGAGCGTGTTTGTGCATGTGCGTGTGTGTGCGAGCGTGTGTGTGCGAGCGTGTGTGTGCGAGCATGTGTGTGTGAGCGTGTGTGTGTGAGCGTGTGTGTGTGCATGAGAGCGTGTGTGTGAGCGTGTGTGTGCGTGTGTGTGTGAGCGTGTGTGTGCACGTGTGTGAGCGCGCGTGTGAGCGTGTGCGTGCGTGTGTGTGTGCGTGTGTGTGCGTGTGTGTGAGCGTGCGTGTGTGAGTGTGTGTGTGAGCATGTGTGAGCGTGTGTGAGCGTGTGTGAGCGTGTGTGAGCGTGTGTGTGGCGTGGCTCCTCACGTCGTCCTTGGCGCGACGCAGCTGTGCGGCCTCTGCGCGAGTGCGGCTCAGCTGAGCCTCCAGTTCCAGAGCCTTGGCCTGGGCGGCGCGCTCCTTGCCCTGCGCTCGCTCACGAGCCTGCTCCACCTGGGGTGACAGCGACACACGCACAGTGACACACACCGCCATTCGCCACTAGGTGGCGGTGACGTCACCACGACGCTTGTGCCAGGCTATGTGCACCTTGAGGCCACGTGAAGTGTCGAACGCCCGCTGGCAGGAGGTCACGGGGCAGACCCAGGTGCCACGAGTCAACTGACTGAGATGACCGAGATGACTGGCTGATGCACCACCTGTGCCCCCTACTGTGCCAACTTGCTGTGCTTTAGCCACCCGGCGCTCCGCTCGTTGTTGTGAGCATCGCTCCTCCGCCCTCCGTTGTTATTGGAGGGCGACTGCCTCCAACTGCCCAGCAGCGTCTTTCACGAGCCTCCTCCATAGAGGCCGATCTTGACACCGCTGGTACCAATCATCGGCAAGTCCACATCTATTCTCGAGCCCATGCCGCGCCTGTTTAGGCCCCTCTATCCGCCCGAACAAAAGCTGTTTAGGCATGTGGTGGGCTGGGCATGCGGGCTACATGACCCAGCCAACGCAGCCTTGCCTGCCGGAGGAGCTCACTGATGGAACTTTCTTTCAAGGATTTGTGAACTCCTCACACAATCCAGCCTGGGTCAACCTAGGATGGATCGTAGGCAGGCCAGCCTAAATGTTTCAAACTGGCGAAGATGTTCCATTAGGGGGGTCCACGTTTCGCAAGCGTAGAGAAGGGAGGTCATGACTGTGGCCAAGAAGATCCGAAGCTTCGTGTAGAGTGACAGACCAGGTACCTTCCACAGATATTGCCGCTCGACTGATTTGAAGTGAGACTTCTGCCATCAAACGGGAGCTGGTCATAAGCACAATGCCCAGCTATGGAAAACTCTCCACTCTCTCCACAACTGCTCCAACACCAATGGGGGCTGAGTGGGTGGAGTGTTTGATGGCACAAAATACCCAGGCAGGTGCTTAGTTTTGGTGGAACTGATGGTAAGACCCCACCTCTTAGTGGCAAGCTGCAGGTTCAGCTGTAGCACCTCCAACTCCTCCTCTGAGCGAGCAGCAATCACCAGATCAACGGCATACATAACCAATAGGGAGCCATCCCTTCACCGCACCCGGGCATCAATTAGCCTCCCTTTGTATCCGTACCAGATGGAAATTCTTCCGGTAGAGCCATGGAAAGCTTCACGAACTACGCAGTCAAAGATGATGAGTGCATTGTCTTTGAGCTGTACGCCTTTTGGCGTCCTCTGGTCTAGCACCAATTGAGACGAGGCTCAACAGAAAGCCGTCTCTGGTGTGGACCAATCAGTTTCAAGGACAATGCCATCATATTATCAGTGTTTTTTTTTCAAATTTTCTGTGGATTTCACACCTGATGACGATTGCTTGTGTTGCAGTCGAAACGTCGTGAGATTTTTTAATATTATATTTTTATTATTTTATTATTTCCCTTCTACGTGACTTTACCGAAAGAACCAAGAATATAGTGTGTTTTTGTTTGCATTTTGACCACAAGTATTGTGGTTAATGCACACATGATTCCTTGTAAAAAGGTTTCAGTTTTGTTGCCAGAAAAAAGGGGGAAAACCCTATTATTATTATAAAGATGATGATGTTAACTAATGTGGGAGCCCGTGCCCCCCACCCTGCACCCCCCTTCCCGCCCGTGCCCACCCACCCTGCACCCCCCTTCCCGCCCGTGCCCCCCACCCTGCACCCCCCTTCCCACCCGTGCCCCCTGCCCGTGCCCACCCACCCTGCACCCCCCTTCCCGCTCGTGCCCCCCACCCTGCACCCCCCTTCCCGCCCGTGCCCCCCACCCATGCCCCCCACCCGTGCCCACCCACCCTGCACCCCCCTTCCCGCCCGTGCTCCCCGCCCGTGCCCCCCGCCCGTGCCCCCCGCCCGTACCCCCCGCCCGTGCCCACCCACCTGTCTGCGAGCGTCGTCGAGCGCGAGCTCCAGCTGGCGAGACAGCGCCGCCACGTCGCGTGCCCTCTCCTCTCCGCGCAGCCGCTCCAGCGCCAGCGCCTCCTCCCGCTGGGCCACGGCCTGCGCCAGCTCGCGGCTCTGCTGCTCCGCGCCCTCCACACGTCTACACAGAGAGGCCCCCACCCCGACCGCGTGACCTTCCGCCGGCTTTTGGGGCAAGCGCCGTTCGCGTAGTGGCACCCCTCAAGGCCGGCACGGCGCACCACCCACGAGGTGGTGGTGTGGCCGGCAGCCACGGGGCCGGCCGCCTTTTGCGTGTGATGGGGCTGGCTGTGTGCGACGTTGCCGTGCGTGCACGTGTGAAGTTGCTGTGTGTGTGATGTTGCCGTGTGTGTGACGTTACCATGTGTGTGTGTGTGCGTGAGGTTGCCGTGTGTGAGACGTTACCATGTGTGTGTGTGTGTGTGATGTTGCCGTGTGTGAGACGTTACCATGTGTGTGTGTGTGCGTGATGTTGCCGTGTGCGTGACGTTACCATGTGTGTGTGAGACGTTGCCGTGTGTGTGTGTGCGTGAGGTTGCCGTGTGTGAGACGTTACCATGTGTGTGTGCGTGATGTTGCCGTGTGCGTGACGTTACCATGTGTGTGTGAGACGTTGCCGTGTGTGAGACGTTACCATGTGTGTGTGTGCGTGAGGTTGCCGTGTGTGAGACGTTACCATGTGTGTGTGTGTGCGTGATGTTGCCGTGTGTGTGACGTTACCATGTGTGTGTGAGACGTTGACGTGTGTGAGACGTTACCATGTGTGTGTGTGTGTGAGACGTTGACGTGTGTGAGACGTTACCATGTGTGTGTGTGTGCGTGCGCGTGTGACGTTGCCGTGCGTGCATGATGTTGCCGTGTGTGAGACGTTACCATGTGTGTGTGTGTGTGTGCGCGTGCGTGACGTTGCCGTGTGTGCGACGTTGCCGTGCGCGTGTGCGCGTGCGTGACGGCGCTGGTTAACCTCTGCAAGGCGTCGGTCTTGAGCTGCAGTTCGTGATTCACCTCCTGCAGCGATGCCGCGCTCTCCCGCACAGACTCCAGCTGCAGCGCCTGCTGCTCCGCCTGCACTGGCCGCCCCCCCACCGCACAGACAAGAGACAAAGGTCACCCGCGTAGCCTACGCACGCTGTCGGGGCAAGTGCCGTTCGCGAGCGGCATCCACAAACGGCACCACGTGCCTTGGTCCACCTATCACCTATGTCTGCCGAGCGCCGACGTTTATAAACCGAAACTGCGATGGATGTTCATCCACGGCCGAGTTCTGCCTTTAGTGGAGGCCTCGGGAACAGTTACGATAATCGTCACCAGTGTTGGCCCGTGAGCGGGAATCGAACCCCGTTTACACACATGCACAGACACACAACAACAAGAAGAACAACCGCCATTCGCCACTAAGTGGCGGTGACGTCACCACGGCGCCTTTGCCAGGCTATATGCACGTTGAGGCCACGTGAAGTGTCGAACGCCCGCTGGCAGGAGGTCATGGGACAGACCCAGGTGCCATGGGTCGACCGACTGAGATGACCGAGATGACTGGCCGATGCACCACCTGTGCCCCCTACTGTGCCAAATTGCTCTTTTATCCGCCCGGCTCTCCACTCGTTGTTGTGAGCATTGCTCCTCCGCCCTCGGTTGTTGTTGGAGGGCGACTGCCTCCACCTGCCCAGTAGCGTCCTTCACGAGCCTCCTCCACAGAGGCCGATCTTGACACCGCTGGTACCAGTCATCGGCAAGTCCACTCAGCTTCACATCCTCCTGTACCACATCACTCCATCTCTTCTCTAGCCCGTGCCGCGCCCGTCTAGCCCCCTCTATCCGGCCGAACAAAAGCTGTTTAGGCATGCGGTGGCTGGGCATGCGGGCTACATGACCCAGCGCAGACACACACACGCGTACGCACACACACACACGGACCTTGAGGCGAGCCTCGGCCAGGCTGGACGCCTGCTCGGCCTCCCTCCTGTGCGCGGTGGCCAGCGTGGCCTCGCTGTCGCGCAGACGCAGCTCAGCGGCCTTCAGCATCTCGGGCAGCGGCTCCAACTGGGAGAGACGCGACTCCACCGAGCGCCGCATCTACACGCAGACGCCGTCGTAGAGACGCACGCGCAGAGATTAAACTTAGACACACACACACATTACACTTAGACACACACACACACACATTACACTTAGACACACATCACACTGAGACGCACACACACAGACATTACACTTAGACACACATCACACTGAGACGCACACACACAGACATTACACTTAGACATACATCACACTGAGACGCACACGCACAGACATTACACTTAGACACACACACACAGACATTACACTTAGACACACATCACACAGAGATGCACACGCACAGACATTACACTTAGACACACATCACACTGAGACGCACACGCACAGCCATTACACTTAGACACACACACACAGACATTACACTTAGACACACATCACACTGAGACGCACACGCACAGACATTACACTTAGACACATCACACTGAGACGCACACACACAGACATCACACTTAGACACACATCACACTGAGACGCACACACACAGACATCACACAGACACATATTACACTTAGACACACACACATTACACTTAGACACACATCACACCGAGACGCACACGCACAGACATTACACTTAGACACACATCACACTGAGACGCACACGCACAGACATTACACTTAGACACGCATTACACTTAGACACACACACATTACACTTAGACACGCATTACACTTAGACACACACACATTACACTTAGACACACATCACACTGAGACGCACACGCACAGACATTACACTTAGACACGCGCACACAGATTACATACAGAGATACACACATACATACACTACACATAGAGATACACACACACGTAGATACACACAGAGATACACTACACACAGAGATACACACACACGTAGATACACACACATACACTACACACAGAGATACACACACACAGATACACACAGAGATACACTACACACAGAGATACACACACACGTAGATACACACACATACACTACACACAGAGATACACACACACGTAGATACACACAGAGATACACACACACGTAGATACACACAGAGATACACAAAGATCAAAGATCCCCCGTATAGCCTTAACAGACTGTAGGGGCAAGTGCTGTTAGCGAGCACCTATGAAGGCCGGAACGGTACACGAGGGGGTGGGTGGCCAGCACCACGCCCGACCGCCTTTGTCTCCCCAGTGGCGATGTTTACACACCGCACCAGGTACTCATTTAAGGCTGAGTCGACCTAGGGGAGGCCCAGAACCAGTTCAGATAATCGTCACTGGTGTTAGCCGTGAGCGGGAATCGAAGCCAGGTCGCCAGGTTCATAGCGCAGCTCGCTAACCGCTGCACTACCGCTCCCCACAGAGATACACACACACAGATACACACACACACGTAGATACACACAGAGATACACACACAGATACACACACACGTAGATACACACAGAGATACACACACACGTAGATACACACAAAGATACACACACACGTAGATACACACAGAGATACACACACACGTAGATACACACAGAGATACACACACACAGATACACACACACATTACACTTAGACACACACACATTACACTTAGACACACATCACACTGAGACGCACACGCACAGACATTACACTTAGACACGCGCACACAGATTACATACAGAGATACACACACACACGTAGATACACACAGAGATACACACACACACGTAGATACACACAGAGATACACACACACACGTAGATACACACAGAGATACACACACACGTAGATACACACAGAGATACACACACACGTAGATACACACAAAGATACACACACACGTAGATACACACAGAGATACACACACACGTAGATACACACAGAGATACACACACACGTAGATACACACAGAGATACACACACACGTAGATACACACAGAGATACACACACACGTAGATACACACAGAGATACACACACACGTAGATACACACAGAGATACACACACACGTAGATACACACAAAGATACACACCACGTAGATACACACAGAGATACACACACACGTAGATACACACAGAGATACACACACACGTAGATACACACAGAGATACACACACACACGTAGATACACACAGAGATACACACACACGTAGATACACACACGTAGATACACACAGAGACACACACACACAGATACACACACACATTACACTTAGACACACACACATTACACTTAGACACACATCACACTGAGACGCACACGCACAGACATTACACTTAGACACGCGCACACAGATTACATACAGAGATACACACACACACGTAGATACACACAGAGATACACACACACACGTAGATACACACAGAGATACACACACACGTAGATACACACAGAGATACACACACACGTAGATACACACAAAGATACACACACACGTAGATACACACAGAGATACACATACACGTAGATACACACAGAGATACACACACACATACACTACACACAGAGATACACACACACGTAGATACACACAGAGATACACACACACGTAGATACACACAGAGATACACACACACACGTAGATACACACAGAGATACACACACACATACACTACACACAGAGATACACACACACGTAGATACACACAGAGATACACACACACATACACTACACACAGAGATACACACACACATACACTACACACAGAGATACACACACACGTAGATACACACAGAGATACACACACACGTAGATACACACAGAGATACACACACACACGTAGATACACACAGAGACACACACACACGTAGATACACACAGAGATACACACACACACGTAGATACACACAGAGATACACACACACACGTAGATACACACAGAGATACAGCGGCTACAGCTGGGACTAGCCGCGGTTCGGGGGAGCACCACATCTTCTCGTGGCCACGGAGACGAGATCCGTACACGCGGCACGCACGCATGGAGAGAGGGGTGGCCATCGGTGATGACGGAGGTCGACGGGGGACCGAGATGAGATGAAGGGTGCCACGGTGGCTAGAAAATGTTAACTACCTCGCCTGGTGTACAGGAGGTCGTGGGTTCGATCCCAACCCTGACGCCTGCTGCTGTATATTTGGAGATTGCGTGTCTCTCTCTCTCTCTCTCATCATCATCACGGTGGCTAGCAGATGTTAACTACCTCGCCTGGTGTACAGGAGGTCGTGGGTTTGATCCTGACACCTGCTGTGTATTTGGAGTTTGCGTGTCTCTCTCTCTCTCCCCGTGGTCGTGTGGATTTTACTCCTCCGGTTTTTCTCTCCACATTTAGAATTGATGTCACGCGTTCAGAGTATTTGTCTGCTGCTAGAAATTGAAGCCACTTCGCCGAGTCATCATTTGTGATAGCCAAAAAAACCCAAACATTTCATAGCGGCCCTCGCTCTGCGTGGTCACCTGCTCGGCCTCCCGGCCGCTCTCGTCGCGAAGCCTCCGGTTCTCCTTCTCCGCCAAGTCCAGCTTCACCTTGAACTCGTCGGCCTCCACGCGAGTCTTCGTCACCTGGGGGCCGACAACGAGGTGGGGGGCGGGGGGAGTCCGCACGGCGTGGTGTGCGCGTCACACGCAAGGCGCTTTGCCACAAATGGAACCGCGGGAGCTCGCCCATCTCAAACTCTGGCCGTCCTCGCAGTGGTGGCGGCTTTTGGCCGGCCGTCGAACAAAGACGGTCGCGGCTTCGTCGCACTTTCAGATGTGCTTCCGCGGCCGTCTGGAACGCTCTTCCTTCCGATATCAGGAAGCCACTGGAGCTATGCACTTTTAAATCATGGTGGGCTACATATGGTGCGAAAGACGTTCAAAATACATAGAGACTTATAAACTCACCACACAGAGACCCATGGACTCACACATTGCATCGCGTGCTTCCAGATGCGATTCTGTGGCCGTCTGGAAAGCTCTTCATTTCGATATTAAGAAACCACTGGAGCTACACACCGGGCTGCTTTTTGTGTTGAGTTTGTTGTCCTTCCCCCGCACTGCCGATTAGCGTGGCTGGCTACGTACAGTGCGAAAGAAGTTCAACGTACATAGTAGAGTACTGCATGTCCAGACTTCCGCTCGCGCCACCACTCGGCAGCGTCCCGAAGCTCCCGTAAATAACAAAACTACGATAAGTGCACGGCAAGATGCCGGACGACGGCTGTCGGAATTTGTTCCGGACACGCGACGGAAGAATTGCATTGCCATCGATGACAGATGCCGGCGAATAGAGCAGTCCGGATAACAACCACCACCAACATCAAAATATTCAATCATCCTCACCACCGCCAGCCCCACCGCTACCATCACCACATGGTTCGAAATTCCAAGGAGGGAGCCATGCTCGCTCACCGGCTCAACGCGTTGGGTTCAGCGTGTTGGCACGGGAAACTCCCTCACCTGGGTCTTATATCCGTCCACCAGGCCCTCATACTGCTTCATGGTGGCCGTCAGCTGCTGCACCTCCGATTCGGCAAAGTGGAGTTTCTCCTCCACAGCCGAGAGGCTCGCCTGTGGTGACACGCGGGGGGACAAGCGGTGGGACAAGCGGGGGAACACGCAGGAGACACGCGGGGAGACGCGGGGAGATGCGGGGACACGCGGCGAGACACGGGGACACGTAGTGAGACGTGGTGAGACGCGGGGGATGCACGGGGACACGCGGTGAGACGCAGGGGGACATGCAGGAGACACGGGGACACACAGTGAGACGCGGGGAGATGCGGGGACACGCGGGGACACGCAGAGAGACGTGGTGAGACGTGGTGACATGAAGCGCGGGGATGCATGGCGAGACAAGGTGAGATGAGACCACCAGATTGTTCAGAGATCAGAGAGGCTGACAGGCATCTGCCGAGACCCTGGGTTCAAGTCCGGGTTTCACACCCACATGATGGGTAACCCGGCTCCTCAAGGGCAGCGCGTTGATGGTGGAGGAGAGGGTGGGGGGCCCCAGGACCGCTTCAGTTACCGGTCACGACCCATGACATCCTCCGGGCAGGAAACGAACCGGGGTCGCCAGGTTCGTAGCGCATTGCGCGAACCACAAGTCACCGCATTCTCACTTCGCGATTCGATCGCCCCTTCCCCGCGGTCCGTCTCGCTTGTACCGCTTCGTTCGCATTCACACGACACTCGCCAATTTTTTTATTCCCTACTTCTATAACCCCCGTCTCAGCCGAACCTCTGACCCTCGATCCCCCCCACCCCATCCCTGGCCGGCCGTGTGTGGTGGGTGACCTTGAGGCGCTCCCCGTGGAGCCGTGCGCCGGCCACGTCGCCGTTGGCTCGGTGGAGCCGCTCGGCGCTCGCCTCCCGCTCGGCCCGCGCTCGCTCCTCGGCCGCCCGGGCCTGCCGCTCCGCGTCCAGCACTCGTCTGCAGCGTGCAGACATGCACAGACACGCGCAGACACGTGCAGACGCGCATAGACACTCGCAGACACGTGCACAGACACACGCAGACACGCGCAGACGCACGCAGACGCACACAGACACGTGCACAGACGCACGCAGACGCACGCAGACACGTGCAGACACGCGCACAGACACACGCAGACACACGCAGACACACACCAGCATTGCTCATTCAGTTTAATGGCATTGAACCACGACGCCTCCTCTGCACTCTTCTATCGTTGCTGCTGCTGCCATGGTGACCGTTCCCGCGAACTTCGCTCGTTCATTCAGTCCTCCTCCACCAAATGTTGGGGGCTCCTCTCACGCGGTGTGTAGACCACCACGCTTGCAGGTCACAACGAAGACAAAGATCCCCTGTGTAGCCTGCAACAGACTGTAGGGGCAAGTGCTGTTAGCGAGCACCTATGAGGGCCGCCACGACACACGATGGGGTGGGCGGCCAGCACCACGCCCGGCCGCCTTTGTCTCCCCAGTGGCAATGTTTACACACCGCACCAGGTACTCGTTTGAGGCACCCCCCTATCTCCATGCGGGCCACCTCTCCCCCTCCTCGTCCCCCCCTCCCTCATTCTCCCCCCTCCCTTCGTCCCCCCCTCGCCCTCATCTCCCCCTTCATCCCCCCCCTCCCCCACGTCATCCCCGTGCGGGCCGCCCCGTCCATTTCCTCGCAACGCGGCCGACACCCGAGCCGTGCGGGTGGGATGACGACAGCCGGGACGACGCCGGCCTCCGTGATTGCAACGGCAAACACCGGGCGGGGGGCCACAAAGAAACCGCGGCGGCAGTGGAAGTGGCGATGCGGGCTGGGTGACGGTGGTGGGGGGGGGGGGCACGGCGACAGCCCAACACCCCCCGAACCCCCCCCCCCCGGGCTGCGTGCGCCGCCACCGGACGCTGAACAAACAGCGGCAGCTGGGCAGCGCGACGCCCTCTGGGTTCGTCTTACACGGCGGCGGCGGCGGGGGGCCATCACCTGCGGGTGTAAACCCTGCCCGCACGTGCCCCTCGCCGCCATTGGTTGGCACCGTGCCGCCGGCCCCGAGGGGCCCGCCAGCCCCACTAAGCTCTTCCACGGTTTGTGTACGACGGTGCGGGTTTACGTGGTCGTGCTACCTGCTGTTGTTGTTGTGTACGACTCTGTGGGTTTACACGGTCGTGCCGCCTGTTGTTGTTGTGTACGACGGTGCGGGTTTACACGGTCGTGCCGCCTGTTGTTGTTGTGTACGACTGAGTGGGTTGACTGGGTCGTGCCGCCTGTTGTTGTTGTTGTTGTGTACGACTGTGTGGGTTTACGTGGTCGTTTCGTTTGTTGTTGTTGTTGTGTACGACTGTGTGGGTTTACGTGGTCGTGCCGCCTGCTGTTGTTGTTGTTGTGTCTATAGAGAGAGAGAGAGCGGGGAGTGGACCCAGGCACTCACTCGCCGAGCGTCGCCACCTCCATCTCCAGCTGCGACTTCTCCTTGGAGAGCTTCCCGTTGCGCGACCGCCACGCCTCGGCAGACGCCAGCGTGTCCGCCAGCTGCGCCTCCTGCTCGAAAACACCGCACACACACACACGCACACACACACGCACACACACACACGCACACACACACACGCACACACACACACGCACACACACACACGCACGCAGGCACACACACACACACGCACGCAGGCACACACACACACACCGTGCGTAGCCTTTAACCCTTTGCCGTGTTCCGGGACAACCGCAGGTCGCAGGTTGGGTCCCGTTACACCGCCCAATCTCGGCGTTCATTTTGTTCGGTGAGAAGTAGCAGCGCCGCTGTTTTTAAACGACGTCGTTACTCGCCACGGAGAACCACGGGGACACGACCGCCGCCACTCTGCGGTAGCTGGCAGCCAAACTGTGCCGCACGCCCTCCCGCATGGCCTTGTGGGAGCCTCGGTATCGACACATTTATTTTATTTCAGCTTTTCTTCCGGACTGCCGCGGCGAGTGCCGTTGGCGAGCGGCACCTACGAAGGCCGGCACGGCGCACCTTTGAGGGGGTGGGTGGCCAGCATCACGCCCGGCCACCTTTGCCTCCCCCGGTGCTGACGTTGAAGGAGGCTGTGTGAGCGTCACTGCATATGCGGTTCTGTCTGCGCGAGCCTGTGTACGTGCGAGTCTGTCGCTCCTTGTGTCTTTCCGTCCTTCTGTGGGATTCTGTCCCTGTGTGTGTCTCCATTTCTCTCTCTTTCTGTGAGCCATCTCTGGTAGCTGCTGCACTGTGTGCGAGTCTGTTTGTATCTCCGAGTCTCTCGGAGTCCCTCTGTGTGTGTCTCTGTGTGTGTGTGTCTGTCTGTGTATCTCTGTGCGTGTGTCTCTGTGTGTGTCTCTGTGTGTGTCTCTCTGTGTGTCTCTCTCTGTTGCTCTGTCTGTGTCGCTCTCTCTGTGTCGCTCTCTCTGTGTCGCTCTCTCTCTGTGTGTCTCTCTCTCTGTGTCGCTCTCTCTGTGTCGCTCTCTCTGTGTCGCTCTCTCTCTGTGTGTCTCTCTCTCTGTCTGTCTCTCTCTCTGTCTGTCTGTCTCTCTCTCTGTCTGTCTGTCTCTCTCTGTGTGTCTCTCTCTCTGTGTGTCTCTCTCTCTCTGTCTGTCTCTCTGTCTGTCTCTCTCTCGTTGCCTTGTCCAGGAGCTCCGCGTGCAGCTGCTGCGCTGCGTCCTCCCCGCGCTGCGCCCGTGTCTTCAGCGCCCGCGTCGCCTTCTTCAGCGCCTCCTTGTCAGTCTCCCCTCGCTCGCGAGCCCGAGCCACCTCCTCGGCCAGCGCCTCCGCCTCCAGCCGCTGCTGCTCCAGCGCTCGCTCCAGCCCCTGCGCCGAGCAAAGGCAAAGGTCCCCCGTGTAGCCTCCCGCTCTCCTCGTGTAGCCTTAACATGCCGTTTGGGACGAGTGCTGTTACCGAGCAGCGCCTACGATGGCCGGCACGGCGCACGAGGGGGTGGGCGGCCAGCACCACGCCCGGCCGCCTTTGCCTCCCCAGTGGTGACGTTAACATGAGAACGCACGCACGTGTACACGCACAACCGCGCACACCCGCACACACCCGCGCACACGCACACCCGCGCACACGCACACCCGCGCACACACACACACCCGCGCACACCCGTATGTGTGTGGCGGCCCGGTTGTTGTCGGCCTCCTTGCTGCGCAGCTGTCCCTGGAGGTGAGCGCGCGTCACCTCCAGGCCCTTAGATGCGTCGGTGGCCGAGCGAGCCGAGTCCTGGCAACAACAACAACACGATTAGCACGGGTGGCTACGTACGGCGCGAGATAATTTCTGCATACATCCAGACTGCCCATAGACTAACGCTGCCCATAGACTCAACACTACCCATAGACTCAACACTGCCCATAGACTCAACACTGCCCATAGACTCAACACTGCCCATAGACTAAACACTGCCCATAGACTCAACACTGCCCATAGACTCAACACTACCCATAGACTCAACACTGCACCATAGACTCAACACCGCCCATAGACTAAACACTGCCCATAGACTCAACACTGCCCATAGACTAACACTGCCCATAGACTCAACACTGCCCATAGACTCAACACTGCCCATAGACTCAACACTGCCCATAGACTCAACACTGCCCACAGACTCAACACTGCCCATAGACTCAACACTGCCCATAGACTCAACACTGCCCACAGACTCAACACTGCCCACAGACTCAACACTGCCCATAGACTCAACACTGCCCATAGACTCAACACTGCCCACAGACTCAACACTGCCCACAGACTCAACACTGCCCATAGACTCAACACTACCCATAGACTCAACACTGCCCATAGACTCAACACTGCCCATAGACTCAACACTGCCCATAGACTCAACACTCCCCATACACTCAACACTGCCCATTAACTCAACACTGCCCATAGACTCAACACTGCCCATAGACTCAACACTACCTATACACTCAACACTACACATAGACTCAACACTGCCCATAGACTCAACACTACCCATAGACTCAACACTACCCATAGACTCAACACTACCCACAGACTCAACACTACCCACAGACTCAACACTGCCCATAGACTCAACACTACCCATACCCTCAACACTACCCACAGACTCAACACTACCCACAGACTCAACACTATCCATAGACTCAACACTGCCCATAGACTCAACACTGCCCATAGACTCAACACTACCCATACACTCAACACTGCCATAGACTCAACACTACCCATTGACTCAACACTGCCCATAGACTCAACACTACCCACAGACTCAACACTACCCACAGACTCAACACTATCCATAGACTCAACACTGCCCATAGACTCAACACTGCCCATAGACTCAACACTGCCCATAGACTCAACACTACCCATACACTCAACACTGCCATAGACTCAACACTACCCATTGACTCAACACTGCCCATAGACTCAACACTACCCATTGACTCAACACTGCCCATAGACTCAACACTACCCATTGACTCAACACTGCCCATAGACTCAACACTGCCCATAGACTCAACACTGCCCATAGACTCAACACTGCCCATAGACTCAACACTGCCCATAGCCACCGCGGCGTCATTAAGAACGCAAGGCAGAGGACGAGGTCCCCGAGGACGAAGAAACATTTCCCTGGCAGGCGGTGACCGAGCGCACCGCGTCTCATTAAACCAGAGCCCGGCAAAGACCCAGATTAGGCACCCGGTCACTCGCTGTGTGGGGAGCGGCGTTGGGTGACAGACGGCCTCCATTTAATCTCCGTTTAATCTCGCCGGCAAGTCGCTACGAGCTACGGGTGTGATCATTATTAGTCGAATTGATGGTCTAAGCCCAGTCATCAATGACTTACACAGAGGCCCGTAGACTCGCACAGAGACCCGTAGACTCTCACAGAGACCTGTAGACTCATACAAAGACCCAAAAACTCACACAGAGACCCGTAAACTCACAGAGACCCATAGGCTCGCACAAAGACCCGCAGACTCATACAAAGACCCATAGACTCTCAGAGAGACCCATAAACTCACAGAGACCCATAGGCTCGCACAGAGACCTGTAGACTAATACAAAGACCCATAAACTCTCAGAAAGACCCGTAAACTCACAGAGACCCATAGGCTCGCACAGAAACCTGTAGACTCATACAAAGACCCAAAGACTCACACAGAGACCCGTAAACTCACAGAGACCCATAGGCTCGCACAAAGACCCGTAGGCTCTCACAGAGACCTGTAGACTCATACAGAGACCTGTAGACTCATACAAAGACCCATAGACTCTCAGAGAGACCCGTAAACTCAGAGACCCATAGACTCATACAGAGGGCCCACACACACCTTCTCCAACTGCAGCTGTACAGCTGCTTGGCTCAGCTCCTTCTCCAGCTCCTGCAGCCGCGTGGCGAGGCGCTGAGATGCAGACACGCGGACAGACACCGGCGGACGGGCGGAGGGATTAACGGATGGACACAGATACAGAGCCGGATTGAAAAACACGAGGACAAGCAGACAAACACGTGGACGGATGGACAGACAGGCAGACACAGACTAATTGACAGACAGACACAAGGACGTAAACAAAGACAAAGATCCCCCGTATAGCCCGGACAGACTGTTGGGGCAAGAGCTGTTAGCGAGCAGCTATGAAGGCCAGAACGGCACACAAGGCGGTGGGTGGCCAGCACTAAGCCCAGCCGCCTTTGTTTCCCCAGTGCGATGTTTTGACGCACCACACCAGGTACTCATTTGAGGCTGAGCCGACCTAGGGAAGGCCCAGGACCGGTTCAGATAATCGTCACCGATGTTGGCCGTGAGCGGGAATCGAACTCGGGTCGCTAGGTTTGTAGCGCAGCGTAGCGCTAATCGCTACACCACCGCTCCCCCCAGACAGACACATAGACACACACACAGGATGTCCACGTGTCTTGACACGCACAGGACGTACACGTGTCTTGACACGCTTGTTCACGTGCGCCCGGTGCGTTGCTCACCGCGTTGTCGCCCTCGGCCAGGGTGAGTTTCCGCAGCAGAACGTCGCGCTGCTCCATCACCTGCGTCACGTCCAGCTGCAAAACAGACGAAGGATCACCCCCCCCCCCCCCACCCTGTAGCCTCACGCAGACTGGTGGGGGCAAGTGCTGCGAGCGAGTAGCACCCGTGACGGTGGGTGGGCAGCACCACCAAGGCCGCCTTTGTCTCCCCAGTGCTGACGTTCAGTACAGGCCGCAGCGGCTACTCGTCTGTAGGCCGACTCGACTTAGGGGAGGGCCCAGGATCGGTTCCGATAATCGCCACTCGTGTTGGGGCCGTGAGCCGTAATGGAACTTACCGCTGCGCCGCCGCTCCCCTTCTATCCCCGCGTCTCACCCCCACGTGTCATCCCCACGTGTCATCCCCACGTGTCACCCCCACGTATCACCCCACTTTTCACCCCCACGTCTCACCCCAACGTCTCACCCCCACGTCTCACCCCCACGTGTCACCCCCACGTCTCACCCCGTGCGTGTCTCACCCCGTGTCTCCTCGCCCGTCTCACCCCGTGTCTCACCCCACGTCTCACCCCGTGTCTCACCGCCCGTCTCACCCCATGCGCGTCCCACCCCGCATCTCACTCCCCACGTCTCACCCCTGCCCCCCGGCGCCTCACCACCTCGCATCTCACCCCGTGTGAGTGTGCGGCGCGAGTCTCTCACCCCGCTGGCGTGCTCGTTGCGAAGCAGCCTGCGCAGCGCTCTGTTGGCGACCTCAAACTCCTCCAGCTTCTCCATGAGCAGCTCCTTGTGGCGCGTGATGCGGCTGACGTCCGAGCAGCTCAAAGCCTTCTCCTGCAGCCTCAACAAACGCGCCGGTCAGGGTAGAGCTCCTCCTCGACGCCCGCCCACGGGAAGGGAGTTTCACGCGACCCAATCTGTGCTGCGATCCACCAAGCCCTTGCTGCTGCCTCCACAGCGCCGGACCACAGGCCACGTACAGGAGCAGCGTAGCCACCACCACCACCACTGCACCCACCGCCACCACCACCGCCCGGCAGTAACGCGACGACGACACGGTGTGGTATATGGACGTGGCGTGGCCTGTGATCCGGCACCGTGAAGGCGAGGGGGGGGGGGGTTGGTGGATCGCCGCACACAGATGACGATGGTGTTGTTGTTGTTGTTGCGAAACTCCCTTCTGCCCGTGGGTGGGCGTCGAGGAGCCGTACCCGTGGCTCTGCCAGGAGAAGGCGGTGCTCAGCAAAAACGCGCAAAAGCCACACGGCGGTGACACGGCGGCGGTGATGTCGCGGCGGCGACGCGACGCTGCGCTGCTTACGTGTCTCATGCGCGACACAAAGTCCCGGAGGGCCGCCACCTGCTTGGCCGCCGACGCCCCCACGGCCTCGGCCTCCAGCAGCTGGCCCAGCAGGCGGTCGCGGCCATCGGCGCCGCCTGCAGGCAGCCTGCGCGCCGACATCGAGGACGCAAACGTCAACGCCACTCGCACCGAATCTCCAATAACCTTCACAACTGCTCATTGTGTTCACTTTGTCGTCCTTCCCCCGCGCAGTTGGCTACGTAACGGTGAGAGAGAAGATCAACTTGCACACATACTTCCCGTAGACTCAACACTGCCCATAGACTTAACACTGCACGTAGACTCAACACTGCCCGTAGACTCAACACTGCCCATAGACTTAACACTTCCCATCGACTCAACACTACCGATAGACTCAACACTGCCCGTAGACTCAACACTGCATGTAGACTCAACACTGCCCGTAGACTCAACACTGCATGTAGACTCAACACTGCCCGTAGACTCAACACTGCCCGTAGACTCAACACTGCCCGTAGATTCAACACTGCCCGTAGACTCAACACTGCCCATAGACTCAACACTACCCATAGACTCAACACTGCCCGTAGACTCAACACTGCCCAAAGACTCAACACTGCCCATAGACTCAACACTGCCCATAGACTCAACACTACCCATAGACTAACACTGCACATAGACTCAACACTGCACATAGACTCAAGACTGCACATAGACTCAACACTACCTATAGACTCTACACTACCCATAGACTCAACACTGCCCATAGACTCAACACTACCCATAGACTCAACACTGCCCATAGACTCAACACTACCCATAGACTCAACACTGCCCATAGACTCAACACTGCCCATTGACTCAACACTGCCCATAGACTCAACACTACCCATAGACTCAACACTGCCCATAGACTCAACACTACCCATAGACTCAGCACTGTGGTGCTCGAGCGGCCAGGATAGAGTATGGTTTGTGGGACTGAGAGCAAATGAGTGGATGAGTGAGTGGGCAAATAAGTTGGTTTTCTTAGTAGTCCACAAGCAAACTGAATATAAACTATTTAAATGTTACCAGGTAAGGCGCATCGAGCTATAACAGCTCTTTTTCAGAGAAGACGGTGGATGACCTGGTCAGAAACGATAGCTCAACGAATTTGATTATCATCATGTGGAAATTTATAGCAGCCACATACTTGAAACTCGTGTTTCTAAATGTGGAGGCAAAAACCGGAGGACCCAGAGAAGAATCCACGCGACCACGGGAAGAGAAAACAACACGCCAACTCCAAATATACAGGAGGCGTCGTCAGGGTCGGGATCAAACCCACGACCTCATGTACACCAGGCGAGGGAGTCAACATCTCGCCACCATGGTGCCCCATAAGTGCCCACCCCTCCCTCCCCCCCCACATATCCCCGCCCTCCACCCTACCCCCTTAGGGCCTCCCCACCGGTTCCCCTGCGCACCGTGCCGAGTCCCCGTCGGGCCCGGCGTGCATCTCGAGGCTGCGTCGTCTCAGCCCCTCGCTCTGGTGGGGCGAGAGGTCGACGTCCCCCGGGGAGGAGGGCATGGCCGCCCCCCCGGCGCGGCGGCGCTGGCGCCACGCGGCCCCCTCGCTCACCGCCCGCTCTCGAGCGCGGTCCCGCCGCTCCTGGTCCACCTGGCGCACGGAGGGACGCGGAGACAGAGGGGGACACGAGAACGGAGAGACGGGGGGGGGGGGTGGAGACGCACGGAGCGCGGAGACGGTTAAACCCACGGTTGTGTGTCTACTTATTCCATCGTCCCTTCAGGGCGACTAAAATTGGTACAACTTTGCACATTTGTCTTTTAGACACAGGTGGAGATACATGGAGCATGGAGAGCACACGGGGCGTGGGAACAGAGATTGGGCACAGCGGAAGCACACACAGAATGGTTACGGGACCGAGTGATGTGGCATCGACTCAGCGTCGTGGCCCAGCCAGTGATGTGGCATCGACTCAGCGACGTGACCCAGCCGGTGCTGTGGCATGGACTGGACTCAGCGTCGTGGCCTAACCAGTGGTGTGGCATGGACTGGACTCAGCGTCGTGACCTAACCAGTGCTGTGGCCGGGGCCTCCGTTGCGCCGGTCACCTGGGCCTGCAGGGAGCTGACCTGCGCCAGCAGTCCGTCCACCGTCTTCTCAAACGCCGTCGCGGCCTCCCCATCCCCCTCCTCCCCCTCCTCCTCCTCCTCCCTCTGGGCAGCGTCCGCAACGTCCGTGGTGGTGAGGTCGCTCACGTGCAGGCCGGGCCGCATGCCGCCCGCGTCGGCGCCCCGCAGGGGAGAGATCTCCAGACGGTGCGTGGGGCCCTGAGGCGAAGCGCCGAGGGACAGAGGATCCAAACTCCACCCCCCCCCCCACATTCGCTCACCGTGTGTGGCGATGGCGGTCGAGCTGGTGTTTAGTCAACATCTCGCCCCGTGGTGAAATGTTAACTACCTCGCCTGGTATATAGGAGGTCGTGGGTTCGATCCCGACCCTGACGCCTGATGTATATTTGGAGTTTGCATGTCTCATTTCACCGCGTCAACCGCGTTCCAAACTAAACCAAACTAATTTTTATTTTACCAGGCAAGGCCAACTGAGCTGCATAGCTCTTTTTCGGAAGTGACCTGGCCACAAATGGTAGCTCAAAGAAGTGGCTTATTATATAGCAGCCAAATACTCAAATCGCACGTTGATTAAAAACATGTACATACGTATGTACGTTGAACTTCTTTTGCATCGTATGTAGCCAACCGTGCTCATCGGAGGTGCAGTGTTGAGTCTATGGGTATTGTTGAGTCTTTGGGAAGTGTTGAGTCTATGGGAAGTGTTGAGTCGATGGGAAGTGTTGAGTCGATGGGCAGTGTTGAGTCTATGGGCAGTGTTGAGTCTATGGGTAGTGTTGAGTCAATGGGAAGTGTAGAGTCTATGGGCAGTGTTGCGTCTATGGGTATTGTTGAGTCTATGGGCAGTGTTGAGTCTATGTGCAGTGTTGAGTCTATTGGCAGTGGTGAGTCAATGGGAAGTGTTGAGTCTATGGGCAGTGTTGAATTTATGGGTAGTAATGAGTCTATGGGTAGTGTTGAGTCTATGGGCAGTGTTGAGTCTATGGGCAGTGTTGAGTCTATGGGTAGTGTTGAGTCTATGTGCAGTGTTGAGTCTATGGGCAGTGTTGAGTCTATGTGCAGTGTTGAGTCTATGGGTAGTGTTGAGTCTATGGGCAGTGTTGAGTCTATGGGCAGTGTTGAGTCTATGTGCAGTGTTGAGTCTATGAGCAGTGTGAGTCTATGGGCAGTGTTGAGTCTATGGGTAGTGTTGAGTCTATGGGCAGTGTTGAGTCTATGGGCAGTGTTGAGTCTATGGGTAGTGTTGAGTCTATGGGTATTGTTGAGTCTATGGGTATTGTTGAGTCTATGGGTAGTGTTGAGTCTATGGGTAGTGTTGAGTCTATGGGCAGTGTTGAGTCTATGGGTAGTGTTGAGTCTATGGGCAGTGTTGAGTCTATGGGTATTGTTGAGTCTATGGGTAGTGTTGAGTCTATGGGTATTGTTGAGTCTATGGGTAGTGTTGAGTCTATGGGTAGTGTTGAGTCTATGGGCAGTGTTGAGTCAATGGGAAGTGTAGAGTCTATGGGCAGTGTTGCGTCTATGGGTATTGTTGAGTCTATGGGCAGTGTTGAGTCTATGTGCAGTGTTGAGTCTATTGGCAGTGGTGAGTCAATGGGAAGTGTTGAGTCTATGGGCAGTGTTGAATTTATGGGTAGTAATGAGTCTATGGGTAGTGTTGAGTCTATGGGCAGTGTTGAGTCTATGGGCAGTGTTGAGTCTATGGGTAGTGTTGAGTCTATGGGCAGTGTTGAGTCTATGAGCAGTGTGAGTCTATGGGCAGTGTTGAGTCTATGGGTAGTGTTGAGTCTATGGGCAGTGTTGAGTCTATGGGCAGTGTTGAGTCTATGTGCAGTGTTGAGTCTATGGGTAGTGTTGAGTCTATGTGCAGTGTTGAGTCTATGTGCAGTGTTGAGTCTATGGGTAGTGTTGAGTCTATGTGCAGTGTTGAGTCTATGTGCAGTGTTGAGTCTATGGGCAGTGTTGAGTCTATGGGCAGTGTTGAGTCTATGGGTAGTGTTGAGTCTCTGGGGCAGTGTTGAGTCTATGGGCAGTGTTGAGTCTATGGGTAGTGTTGAGTCTATGTGCAGTGTTGAGTCTATGGGTAGGTTTAGTCGATGGGCAGCGAGTATGTACGTTGAACTTCTTTCGCACAGTACGTAGCCAACCGTGCTAATCGGAGGTGTGGGAGACTCACCTCCCAGGCGTAAGTCTTGTCCCGCACAGAGGTTTTTCCGGGTGGGATCCACGGCCCGCGGCTCCGTCCTCGCGGCGTCGACCGTGCGCTCGCCCGCTCGCCCCCCACGGTTCGTCCCTGCAATCGAGCAGCAACCGCGCAACAACAACAAACGATACAGTAACTCGATAACAACAACAACACCACCACCACCACAACACGTGAGCCCGTAACAACAACACAACAGCACGACACATTACACGCAGAAAAAAACGGCGTGACAATAAACTGCACCTCCGATGAGCACGGTTGGCTACGTACGGTGCGAAAGAAGTTCAACGTACACACATACATACTGCCCATAGACTCAACACTGTTGATGCGCGTGCCCCTACGCGGGAGCCGCCGCATGCCCCTCACCTCCGCGGAGCCGGCTCCCACGCGGGGCTTGCGCGTCTTCTTGAGGTGCACGTGCACCGGCGTGTCTTCGTCCACGTGCACGTGCACCGGCGGGGAGCCCGTGCGCATCTTCATGGTCCTGCCGCACTGCTGACAACAACCAACAACAACCAACATCATCATCATCATCATCGCCATCTTCACCATCCCGGGGAGCCCGTGTGCATCTTCATGGTCCTGCTGCACTGCTGACAACAACCAACAACAACCAACATCAACATCATCACCATCTTCACCATCCCGGGGATCCCGTGCGCATCTTCATGGCCCTGCCGCACTGCTGACAACAACCAACAACGACAACAACCAACATCATCATCATCGCCATCTTCACCATCCCGGGGAGCCCGTCCGCATCTTCATGTTGCCGCCGCACTGCCGACAACAACCAACAACAGCCAACACAACAACATAATCAACACCATCATTACCATCATTACCATCATCGTCATCATCACGGGGAGCCCGTGCGCATCTTCATGGTCCTGCCGCACTGCTGACAACAACCAACAACAACAACCAACACCAACAACATCATCACCATCTTCACCATCCCCGGGAGCCCGTGCGCATCTTCATGTTGCCGGCGCACTGCCGACAACAACCAACAACAACAACCAACATAACATCAGCATCACCATCTTCACCATCCCGGGGATCCCGTGCGCATCTTCATGGTCCTGCCGCACTGCCGACAACAACCAACAACAGCAAACACAACAACAACATAATCATCACCATCATTACCACCATCATCATCACCATCACGGGGAGCCCATGCGAATCTTTATGGTCCTGTCACACTGCAAACCACCACCAACAGCAACAACCAACACCAACAACATCACCATCATCACGGGGAGCCTGTGTACATTGCAAACCACCAACGGCAACCACCAACACAACACCATCACCGGGAGGGAGCCTCCACGCACTTCCGACAACAACACAAATTGCCACCGCAACCGACTGACCGCAAACATCACCGTGCCTTCACACTACCCCAGCGCACTGCTGCCGTTAGAACGACAACAACGCGATGACCACGACCTCAAAGACGTCAAGTGCAGATTTCGTCGCCCCTTTGATCAGACCCAGGCGTAGGTGCCACACGCACGCACGCCCACAGGCAAGCGGTCGGTCACCATCATGAACATCAAACCGTGGTCCATCCGTGAGGTTTTTTTTATTGTGGGTTAGGTCGCGTAGATATAAATGTGTCGTGAAACCGGCCATGTCGGGTGGTAGTGGGTTTCACGACACATTTATACGTACGCAATCTAACCCAAATATGGATAATGTTGGCCGTGAATGCCTATGTGTTAAACATGGCCAATCCACTGCTGGATGAAGGACTCCCTTAGCCGTGATTATCCGTCACAGTCCTACCGTGTGGTGAGTGAGCGAATGAGCAAATGAGCGTGATGCTGCTGTTACTGCGGGGAGCGGTGGTGCAGTGGTTAGCGCGATGCGCGATGCGCTAACCGCTCACAACTAACACCGGTGACGATTATCTGAACCGGTCATGGGCCTCCCCTAAGTCGACTCAGCCTCAAATGAGTACCTGGTGCGGTGTGTAAACAACATCAGCACTGGGGAGACAAAGGCGGCCGGGCGTTGTGCTGGTCACCCACCCCCTCGTGTGCCGGTGTTGGTTCTTTCGGTAAAGTCACGTAGAAGGGAAATAATAAAATAATAAAAATATAAAACAATACAAATTCTCACGACGTTTCGACTGCAACACAAGCAATCGTCATCAGCTGTGAAATCCACAAGACAATTTGAAAAAAGTCGTGAGAAATTTTATTGTTTAATATTTGTATTATTTTATTATTTCCCTTCTACGTGACTTTACCGAAAGAACCAAGAATATGAATCCCTGCAATCACGAAATCTTTAAATAAAAATGTAACCTATTCTTATTTTTCATCGCCCTTTGGATACTGGAAAAAACAGAAGGTTTCCCATGATAATCACTTCACAGACTGGGGGTGACCCCCATGGCAACGCGTCTCTAGCCACCTTCAAGCTGCAATAAAAATAACATATCCCCCCCAGCAACGCTAAGCCAGCTTCTATCTATCTGAATAACCACGGCACTGTAGTGGTCTAGATGTCTTGTGACCCCCCCCCCCCCACACACACAGTTTCACCTGAAGACGGAAGCTTGTGTTGCCTCCGAAACGTCGTGATTTTTTTATTTTTTATTAATTTTAATTTCATTTTTTACCTACGTGACTTTACAGAATATATACACACACACACACATCCTCCACATAACCCAATTGATTCCTCAAAAAACTTTGTATATTTATTTTTTCAAATTTTCTTGCTGTGGATTTCACACCCGATGATGATTGCTTGTGTTGCAATCGAAACGTCGTGAGAATTTTTATTGTTTTATATTTTTAATATTTTATTATTTCCCTTCTACGTGACTTTACCGAAAGAAACAAGAATATGAATCCCTGCAGTCACGAAAGCTTTAAATAAAAAAATATATTTAAAAGTTTATTGAAAAAAGGGGAACACGTTAATGGGGTCGGTTAATATTGTGAAATCACAAGACATCTGGACCATCCTGTACAGTAACAACAAAGGAGTTCACTGCATCGATTTGTATCCATCGATGGTTATGACGACAGATTGTGCTGCTGCCGATGATGCAGCAATGATGATAGCAACTTAACACGATTTTGAAATGATGTTCGACGTTTCGCTTCGTAAGCTGGAAGCCCTTTTCAGCAACTGAATTAATGATTGTTTTTGATGAGGACGATACTAATGATAGTGGTGCTGACGAGACCGCGATGATGTTGATGAAGACGACGATGATTACCACACCACAACAAACACCCTAGAACGTGGCAGAAATTATGATAGCAACCTGACACGATTTCAAAATGATGTTCGACGTTTCGCATCGCAAGCTGGAAGCCCGTTTCAGCAACTGAATTAACGATTGCTTTTGATGAGGCCGATACTAATGATAGTGGTGGTGGTGCTGACGAGACCGTGATGATGTTGATGAAGAAGACGACGACGATGATTACCACACCACAACAAACACCTCAGAACGTGTTAACCCCGCCGCTCTTCCATCAGCAGTAGCGGAAGCGAGACATTGCTGGCGCTTCGAACAATTACAATCCACAACGCGGCCGTTGCAACTTCCACGTGCGGTACATCCCACGCAACAGCCAAAACAATATCACCGACCGCGACAAACTGGTACCGTATTTAACCGACCCTGGTGGCGGCGGTGATGATGATGGGTCACGCGCGCGCCGTCCGCCCGCTGCGCCAACGCCGCCGCCGTCTCGCGGCCTCCAAAACATCGGCACGGCCGGGCCCTCCTTGCGCCGCTCCCATTGGTCAATTCAAACTCGACGTTGGCTCGAGCTCGGCCGCTGATTGGTTGAATATTCCCGGCGGCCGCGCCCCGTTGCGATCAGCTGGAGTCGAGCCCCTCCCCCCGCGCGCCCGCCCAACTGACAACGTTGCCGTGGAGACGGTGGAAGAGGTGGGGGGGGAGACGCGCGTTGCTACGGTAACAGACGCGCGTTGCCATAGGGACAGCCGCGCGGCCTCTTGGCGGGAACTTACAGCGGCATTTAAACAAGTAAACCCGTAAAAACAAAGTTTTTCACTCTAAATCCTTTATATGCGTGGCGGCTCGAGTTCTCTCGTCCTCTGGCTTGAGATGGCTGCCACCTATGGGTCAGATGATTGTCTGCCAGTATTAAGCAATTGGTAATTAAAAATTTAATTAGTTTTCCCTAAACAGTGTAAAATTTTGGAAAAGAAATTTCACGAAAATTAATTGTCACGCACAACGAGTCTGTGTGGAAAATGTCAGCTCGATTGGATCACGGGAAGTGGGTTAAAAAACGAGCGAAAGATTTGCACGGTCCTAAGTAAGCAAGCAAGCAAGCACGCGAACTTAATATAAAGGATTTAAAAACAATTTGACCCGCAGCTCCCCTCAGAAAATGAATTTACCTCATGACAAAAAAACTAAGTACTAATAGGGGTTTTCCCCTTTTTTCTGGCAACAAAACTGACACCTTTTGCAAGGAATCATGCTTACATTAACCACAATACTTGCAGTCGAATGCAAACAAAAACACGACTCTGATAATTTATGCATTGTCTTTGAAACTGATTGGTCCACACCAGAGACAGCTTTCTTTAGAGCCTAGTCTCATATGGTGTTCGACCAGATGACGCCAAAAGGCGCAAAAATAAAGCTCAACGCGTGTGTCGATACTCGTAACAATGTCATACTCTTTGGTTCTTTCGGTAAAGTCACGTAGTTAGAAATAAAATAAAACAAATCACGACGTTTCGATTGCAACACAAGCAATCTTCATCGGGTGTGACAACCACAGCAAGAAATAATTGCTGAAGTAGGCTGTTTTGTTTTATTTAATTTCTAACTATGTGACTTTACCGAAAGAACCAAAGAGTATGGATTCCTGGGGTCAGGGCGAGTTATAAACAACAAACAACACACACACACACTATGAGACCTTTACCAGTGACAAAATATAGTAATAGGGTTTTACCCTTTCAACTGGTACAAAAACTGACACCTTTATACAAGGATCATGTTTGCAATAACCACAACACAAGCAGTCAAAATGCAAACAAAAATAAACAACTCTGATAAGATTATCAGATTATCAACTCTGATAAGATTATCAACTCTGATAAGATTATCAGAGTTGTTTCTTTTTGTTTGCATTTTGACTGCTTGTGTTGTGGTTATTGCAAACATGATCCCTTGTATAAAGGTGTCAGTTTTTGTACCAGTTGAAAGGGTAAAAACCTATTACAACACACACACAACAAAAACAACAGTCCCAGACCACAGCAAGACAACACCACAGATCAGCAGCAATGTCACATTAACATTAAATTATCGATAAGCAGACAATGTGCCCTTCGTAGATCCGCACTCTCCACATTAAACATAACACTTTCTATACGATATTAAGTGGAGATAGATATGAACATCATCACGTGCGTGGCACCACAGTATCAAGTGCAGTTGTTTGTGGTCGTATTTGTAATGAGTTTGTTGATGGCTGAACGCGTGTCAAAAGGGCTTCACAGCTCATAGGATTCTGATTTGGGGTCAATGAAAGCCTAAACTTTTATATTTACAGCCCTTTGCCAATCCGCGGTGGGACGGAGTCGACAAAAATGCACTAATTCATTGCGATTTTGACTTCAGTTTATTCGGAACCCCGGGGTTCATGTGGCCAATTAGATTTGAACGCGACAACGTTACGATTGATTAATTATCGTAACGATGTTTTGCGTTTAATCCGTTCCGTGATCAATTGCCGTGTCAAGAGCGTTGTGTCAACTGCAGAAATCATAATAAAATCCCTCATTCGCTCATCCGCTCACGCATTTAAACACATTCCTGCGGAGGGAGCTGGTAGGAACGTCGGGTTGCTCGGTCAATGGCCTGCAGGGTCAACGGCGGCGTGGTGTATTCCGCAAATATGGCCGACTGTGAGGGCGGGCACAAGCCGGCGTGAGTAGGTTAAACGTTGAGTTTTATAAGAACACCACGGGGTGACCAGCCCTTCCCCACCCAGCCCCTCCCCACCCAGCCCCACCCCCCACCCAGCCCCTCCCTACCCAGTTTCTCCCATCCCCACCCAGTTTCTCCCATCCCCACCCAGCCCCTCCCCACCCAGCCCCACCCTTCCCACCCAGCCCCTCCCTCCCCAGCCAGCCCCTCCCTGCACGATGGACGGACAGACACAATAATCCCCTGTGGGCTGGTGTAACCAGGTTTCTACCAGTACCACTCGCTTGTCTTTAGTTTATTGTCCTTCCCCCCGCGCCTCCGATTAGCATGGTTGTCTACGTATGGTGGGGAAGAAGTTGAACATACATACACCGACAAACTTACCCAACCTCTCACTCAACATTCACCCTCTTCCCTCCCAACGTTCTCCCATCGCACCTGGCGGACGTACCTTACCTCCCCTCCTCCTCCTCATCATGGTCACAAACGAACACTCGTAATCGGTCGGTAAAGTCTCCGTATCATTTTATTTAGCGAACGAGTCTGCAGGCCGCTTCTACAAGTGACAACGACAGGGGCTGCCCCCCAGGCACACCCGGTAACAACACAGCCGGCATGCACGGAAAGCCGTCACTACCGCCGCACGCGTGCCGGGGCTTCACGCAACCTCCGTGGGCTGCCTTGAAGCATTAGCGTTTGACTGGTGGAGTGCACGCCACGACCCCTTCAAAATGTTTAGGCAAGTCTAAAAATGTTGGTGCAAACGTGGGTGGTAGTTGAGCGATGGGCAGCCCTTCCTGCTGCCCACACGGGGTTGAGAGAAAGGGCCGACCGTGTCCGTCCGGTGCTCGCCAAGCCGCATTGGCTTCCGGTTGCCGAACAAATACAGCGGTGTCATTATAAGGTCGCGCTAGTTACACACAAAGTGTTTGCTGCAAATGAACCACAATTCCTTGGCTGATCTCGTCACAGAGCTATAGAACATCGTCACGCGACACTCCGGCCGCCCTCGCAGCGGCGGCTTTTATCCGAACCCTTTTCCCGTTCACCTGAGAATCTTGGAACGCACGAGTGGTTCGGCGTTAATTTTATTTAGAGAGGCGTAGCGCCGTCTTGGTTCTTTCGGTAAAGTCACGTAGAAGGGAAATAATAAAATTAAAACATAATAAAATACAATTCTCACGATGTTTCTGCCACAACGCAAGCAGCCGTCTTCAGGTGAAGAACAGGGCTGTCGGAAAGACAGCGTGTCATTCAGACGCAGTCACGAAAGCTTTAAATCGAAATTTAGGCGTAGCGCCGTCGCACTCACCGCCGCAGAGAACCGTAGCGACACGACCGCCGCACTCTACAACAGCTGGCGCCAAAATGTGCCACACGCCTCTTCCCGGCGTGGCCTTGCGGGAGCCTCGATACCTATAAAGTTATTTTATTTTAGCTTTCTTCCGGTACCGTTCCTGTGACGTACGCATACGTCACCGGAATGGGAAAGGGTAAACGAGCTCTCTCGCGCGCCCTCGGGATCGAGGCCATGGAGGCGAGCGGCTCTTGGATTGCAGACGGCCGTGGAAACGCAGCAGGAGAAGCGGCGGCGGCGGCTGCGGTGGCAGCGGCGTGGGGCGCCGCACGTCACGTGCGTCACGCGCGTCCCCGCTGCTGCCCGATGGCCTGCTGCGTGCGCTCGTACCACGGCCCCAGCTTCGTGTTGGCCATGACGTCGTCAAACGCCTGCAGGCCCTCCATGACGCGCAGAACGCCGAACACGGCCTGGAGCGGGGGCGGCGCACGGGGATGGACGGGGACGCACGGGGAAGTACAGGGATGGACGGGGACGCACGGGGACATACGGGGATACATGAGACACATGGAGATGCAGAGGCATAAATGGGGGAGATGCACAAGATAAGTTTAGTGTAGGTCTAGGATGGGTTTAGGAGATGTTTAGGATGTGTCAGGAAGGGTGTACGCTGCTGTTTAGGGTGGGTTTATGATTGCTTTCGGTTGGGGCTTCGGCTTGGTTCAGGATTAGGTTTAAAGCTGAGGTTGAGGATTGAGTTCATGTTGGGTTTAGGATGAGGTACATGCCGGGTTCATGACGGTTTTGTTGAAGTTGGGTTTTTGAGCGAGGCTCGGAGTAGGATGGGGCGTGAGGGCCAGGCCAGGTTTATGACGGTGTTGTTGAATTTCGATTTAAAGCTTTCGTGACTGCAGGGTTTCATCTTCTTGGTTCTTTCGGTAAAGGCACGTAGAAGGGAAATAATAAAAATAAAACATAATAAAATAATATAATAAAATCATATAATTTTTATTTTATTATTTCCCTTCTACGTGACTTTACCGAAAGAACCAGGAAGGTGTTGTTGAAGTTGGGTTTTAGACCGAGGCTCAGCATGTGACGAGGGTGCGAGGCGCAGGCTTGGGGAAGGGGGGGGGGTGTCGCTGACCAGGTCGGCGAGGTTGGGGCTCTGTCCACCCATGAAGGGGCGCTCCTTCCCCAGGGCGCGCACCCACTCGTTGGCGGCCTGGTACAAGTCCTGGCGCACGTCGTCCTGCATGTGGTGCCTGTAACGCACGGTGGGGTGGGAGCGGTGGGAGCGGGGGGTGGAGGGGGAGGGGGTAGGGGTGGCGCCGGCAGTTCCGGTGGAGCAGAGGTTACCCTCACAGCCTCACAGCGTGAAGCCCCTGGGTTTGACACCCCGACCCGCGCGCTCTCTCCGCGTGGTGTTGATGTGTTCCTCGGCTTCAACCACTCCTCCTCCCACTTCCCCGGCCTTTTCCAACTCCCTCCTTCCGTGATTTAAGGTCTCGCTCCCTCTTGCGAGTGCGGGTAGCGAACCAAACGCACGAGTAGCCATCGTATTTACGATGTGAGCTGCGAACCCTGCGCTTAGCAGGCTCCGGTTTTGGCTATCCGCGAATCGCGTCTGGAACTCTACAGGCTTGCATCAGGAGAGAGATACAGTGATGAGAGATGAAGTGATGAGAGATAAAGTGATGAGAGATAAAGTGATGAGAGAGAATGTGATGAGAGAAAATGTGATGCGATAAAGTGATGTCCTATGTACGTATGTATGATGAACTTCTTTCGCACCGTACGTAGCCAACCGTGCTAATCGGAGGTGCAGTGTTGAGTCTACGGGCAGTGTTGAATCTGTGGGCAGTGTTGAGTCTATGGGCAGTGTTGAGTCTATGGGTAGTGTTGAGTCTATGGGCAGTGTTGAGTCTATGGGCAGTGTTTAGTCTATGGGCAGTGTTAAGTCTATGGGCAGTGTTAAGTCTATGGGCAGTGTTGAGACTATGGGCAGTGTTGAGACTATGGGCAGTGTTGAGTCTATGAGCAGTGTTGAGACTATGGGCAGTGTTGAGTCTATGAGCAGTGTTGAGACTATGGGCAGTGTTGAGATTATGGGCAGTGTTAAGTCTATGGGCAGTGTTAAGTCTATGGGCAGTGTTGAGTCTATGGGCAGTGTTGAGACTATGGGCAGTGTTGAGTCTATGAGCAGTGTTGAGTCTATGGGCAGTGTTGAGTCTATGGGCAGTGTTGAGTCTATGGGATAGTGTTGAGTCTATGGTATAGTGTTGAGTCTATGGGTAGTGTTGAGTCTATGGGATAGTGTTGAGTCTATGGGTAGTGTTGAGTCTATGGGTAGTGTTGAGTCTACGGGCAGTGTTGAGTCTATGGGCAGTGTTGAGACTATGGGCAGTGTTGAGTCTACGGGCAGTGTTGAGTCTATGGGTAGTGTTGAATCTATGGACAGTGTTGAGTCTATGGGTAGTGTTGAGTCTATGGGCAGTGTTGAGACTATGGGCAGTGTTGAATCTATGGACAGTGTTGAGTCTATGGGCAGTGTTGAGTCTATGGGTAGTGTTGAGTCTATGGGTAGTGTTGAGACTACGAGGAGTGTTGAGTCTATGGGCAGTGTTGAATCTATGGGCAGTGTTGAGTCTATTGGTAGTGTTGAGTCTATGGGCAGTGTTGAGTCTATGGGCAGTGTTGAGTCTATGGGCAGTGTTGAGACTACGAGGAGTGTTGAGACTATGGGCAGTGTTGAGATTATGGGCAGTGTTAAGTCTATGGGCAGTGTTAAGTCTATGGGCAGTGTTGAGTCTATGGGCAGTGTTGAGACTATGGGCAGTGTTGAGTCTATGAGCAGTGTTGAGTCTATGGGCAGTGTTGAGTCTATGGGCAGTGTTGAGTCTATGGGATAGTGTTGAGTCTATGGGATAGTGTTGAGTCTATGGGTAGTGTTGAGTCTATGGGATAGTGTTGAGTCTATGGGTAGTGTTGAGTCTATGGGTAGTGTTGAGTCTACGGGCAGTGTTGAGTCTATGGGCAGTGTTGAGACTATGGGCAGTGTTGAGTCTACGGGCAGTGTTGAGTCTATGGGTAGTGTTGAATCTATGGACAGTGTTGAGTCTATGGGTAGTGTTGAGTCTATGGGCAGTGTTGAGACTATGGGCAGTGTTGAATCTATGGACAGTGTTGAGTCTATGGGCAGTGTTGAGTCTATGGGTAGTGTTGAGTCTATGGGTAGTGTTGAGACTACGAGGAGTGTTGAGTCTATGGGCAGTGTTGAATCTATGGGCAGTGTTGAGTCTATTGGTAGTGTTGAGTCTATGGGCAGTGTTGAGTCTATGGGCAGTGTTGAGTCTATGGGCAGTGTTGAGACTACGAGGAGTGTTGAGACTACGGGCAGAGTTGAATCTATGGGCAGTGTTGAGTCTATGGGCAACGTGGAGTCTATGGGCAGTGTTAGTCTATGGGCAGTGTTGAGTCTATGGGCAGTGTTGAGACTATGGGCAGTGTTGAGTCTATGGGCAACGTGGAGTCTATGGGCAGTGTTAGTCAATGGGCAGTGTTGAGACTATGGGCAGTGTTAGTCAATGGGCAGTGTTGAGACTATGGGCAGTGTTAGTCAATGGGCAGTGTTGAGACTATGGGCAGTATGTACGTCTGTGCATTGAGCAATCGCGCCAATCTGAGATGTTGGTCGTCTGCGTGCGGGGGGGGGGGGCCCACTCACTTGCGCTTGAGCCGCTTGCTGACGAGGAACATCGCGGCGGCGCCGAAGTACTTGGCGAAGGCGCCCTCCACGGAGCCGAACTTCCCCACGCGCACAATGTAGTCGAACGACGCCAGCGCCTCGCCCGGCGAGCGGTACACGTTGGGCGAGATGAGGTGGACGAGGTGGTCGTCCGCCCAGCGCCGCCACTTCGTCTCCTCCCTGCTCCTCGCGCGCACGGTGGGGAAGTGGTGGGGTCGGGCAAAATAGACACAAAGGTCACCCGTGTAGCCTTCAAGCCAAGTGCGCTGTCGTTGTGGCGAGTGGCCGGAATGGCGCACACCTATGACGAGGGTTGGTGAGCCAGCACCAAGCCCGGCCGCCTTTGTCTCCCCGATACTGATGTTTACACACAAGGCCGGGTACTAATTTTCAGGCTGGGTCGACCTAGGAGAGGCCCAGCACCGGGTCAGATATAATCGTCACTGGCGTTGGCCGTGGTTCGTTGGGCGAGTGGAGTGGGTGCGTTGCTCTGACCTGCAGAGACGGTGGCTGAGCACTGTGTAAGATGGAATGAAGCAATCAGTTCCTGGCATTGCCGAGGCGTCAACACGCGTGGAGGAATTTCACGGGCAATGGTAACCATTCTGGTAGCAGCAGCAGCGATAGTAGAAGAGCGACAGGGGGGTGACCGACCCGCTGGTTTGCGAAGCGCACTGTGTGTGAGCGAGCGAGCGAGCGAGTCAGCTAGCGAGTCGCTCGGCGGTGGAGTCTCACTGGCGGGCCTTCTCGCTGGCGTAGAAGTGCGTGACATCCACCCCCTCAGGCAGCATCACCCAGTACTTGTTGCCGTGCTCCACCACCTCCTTGCCCCGCTCGTCCTCGTGACGCACCTCCGGGTACAGTGTCAGCACCTCCTCCAGGCCCCGGCTGCTGCCCCTGCCGGCGCAACCAACGGGCACAGATTACAGCTACAACAAAAGGCCTAGGGCCTAGGGCCCAATGGCCGTTAAGCCCTAGGGCCTAGGGATCGGGGCCTAAGGCCGAGGACATAGGGGATGGAGCCTAGGGCTAGGGCTTAGGAGTTAAGAGGTTGGGGCCTAGGACACAGGGACTTGGGCTGGGGCCTAAGGCCTAGGTCCTAGGATTTAGGGGCTAGAAGCAGCTAGGACTTAGGACCTTAGGCCTAAGCGCTGGAGGCTGCGGCCTAGGGCCTAAAGGCTAGGGCCTTGGGCCTAAGACCTAGGGCTTAGGACTGGGGCGAAGGGCTATTGTTAAGAGCTGGTGCTAGTGCTTGGGCTTAGCAGTTAGTGTCAAGGCTTCGTGGTTGGTATTATGGTTGAGGTTTAGTGTTTTTAGTTGATGTTGCTTGGGTTAGTGTTAAGAGCTGATGCTAGTGTTGACGGTTAGTGGCAAGCCTTGGTTTTAGTGCTGTGAGTTAGTGTTGGGGTTTAACATTACAGCTTAGTGTAATGGTTCGTGGTGGTGGTGGTTTAGCATTCTGTTTGTGTTGTTGTGAGCATTACGGTTAGCTTTGGTGTGTTCGCGTTATTGTTAGTGTTCTGGGTTGGTGTTATGATTACTGGTAAAGGAGGTCTCATAGTGTAAATGCTTACCCCGATCTCTCAATACTCTGATAGTGCGCTGTTTTTGAGTTGTATGCCGTTTGGCATCATCTGGTCCAACACCAATGGAGACTAGGCTCTAAGAAAAGCTGTCTCGGGTGTGGACCAATTAACTTCAAGAACAGTGCATATCATTATCATTATCAGAGTTGTTTCTTTTTGTTTGCATTTTGACTGCTTGTGTTGCGGTTATTGCAAACATGATCCCTTGTATAAAGGTGTCAGTTTTTGTACCAGTTGAAAGGGTAAAAACCTACTACTATACTTGGTGTAATGAGTTGCTGTTTGTGTTAAGGATCAGTGATACAGGAAAGAGTTAGCGATTGAGGTGGTTGCTCTTCAATGGCCATATGAATTATCTATCATCAATGTTAAAGAATGGGGTAATGGTTAGTGCTGGGGCTTGGATTATGGCTACGGTTAGTGTTAGAGGTTGGGGTTTAATAGTTGGGGCGAACGTCGTTGTGTCGTGCGACTTGGGGTTGGTTGCTCACTTGGAGATTAGGAGGGTCTTGAGGATGCTGATGATGTACGAGGAGTCGTTGAGTTGCTGTGGGGAGAATCACCCAGCAATTTCATCACAGGCCCATCGCTCACTCGCACAGCAGCTGCCTGCCAACACAGCCGGTGCACGTCCAACACAGCTGGCGCACGTACAACACAGCCGATGCAGGAACCAACACAGCCGGTGCACGTACAACACAGCTGGTGCACGTCCAACACAGCTGGTGCAGGAACCAACACAGCTGGTGCACGTACAACACAGCTGGTGCAACACAGCTGGTGCACGTCCAACACAGCTGGTGCAGGAACCAACACAGCTGGTGCAGGAACCAACACAGCCGGTGTACGTCCAACACAGCTGGTGCACGTACAACACAGCTGGTGCAGAAACCAAAACAGCCGGTGCACTTCCCAACAAAGCTGGTCCAACACAGATGGTGCACGTCCCAACACAGTTTTCATTTTCATTTATTAGGTATAGCCCTGTGAGCCATTCGGCTCTTGAATCGGGTGCAACCGCAACAAACAAAAACATGAACAAGAAAACATCTTAAAGTGACTATGTGACTACGCGCAAACAGAAAAATCCAGGAAAAAACTGCAAAGTCTTCCAGAAAAAAAGCACCGTACACCAACGCTGTGTGCAAAAATCCCAGTGGGATGCAAGTCAAACAACAACAACAACCACAAGAACAACTTAGATTAAGGCCATCATTCTAACTCTGTACTACAACAAACAAACATGGCCAAACCAAAAAACTTTTCGAAATCACTAAAATAAAGCCAAAAGCAATGTAACAGCAGTGATCATAGGAACTGTGACCGAAATTTCACAATAAACGACATAAACAACATGTACCACCAAACCCTGCAGCCATAGCTGGCTGCATGAGTCACAGGAGCAACCTGGCCATCGCAAATGATAGCTCAACGAAGCGGCTTATCAACATCATCGCGTGAAAATGCATAGCAGCTAAATACTCTAAACGTACGATGTTGATTCTGAATGTGGAGGGAAAAACCAGAGGACCCGGATAAAAATCCACACGACCACGGGGAGAGAGAGACACACAAACTCAAAATATACAGCAGGTGTCAGGGTCGGGATCAAACCCATGACCTCCTGCATACCAGGCGAGGTAGTTAACATCTCCTAGCCACCGTGATGATGATGAGAGAGACACCGCAAACTCCAAATATACAGCAGGCAACGTCAGGGTCGGGATCGAACCCACGATCTCCTGCACACCAGGCGAGGTAGTTAACATCTCCTAGCCACCGTGATGATGATAAGAGAGACACACAAACTTCAAATATACAGCAGGCAACGTCAGGGTTGGGATCGAACCCACGACCTCCTGCACACCAGGCGAGGTAGTCAACATCTCCTAGCCACCGCAGTGCCCCGCCACTCGGGAGACAAAGGCGGCTGGGCGTAGTGCTGACCTACCACCCCCTTCGTGTGCCGTGGCGGCCTTGATGGTTACTGATACTCGCCAACAGCACTTGCCCCAACAGTCTGTTGAGGCTATACGTTAGGGGGTGGGGTGGGGGGGGTTGCCTTTGTCAGTGTGCACGAGACTCACCACAGGGCTGTCGGAGCCAGCGGCTTCGTTGGCGACGATGACGATGGGTACCTTGCGGTATGACGAGAAGGCGATCTCTCGACGCATCACCGGGTTCACCTCCACCAGGCGGTAGGGCAGGCCGTGGTAGTCCAGGAAGGCGCGCACCTTGCTGCAGAACGGGCACGTCTGGTACTGGTACAGGGTCAGCCTCGGCGCAGCCTCGCTCTCCTCCTGCGAGACGAAAAAAAGACGAAGATCCCTCCCCGTGACACGACTGTTGGGGCACCGATGAAGCAGAGGTCGCAAACGGGTTTTGATTCCTTACCCATACCCGGCCGCACCAGGGTCGTAAACGGGTACCCATACCCGACCGTACCCGTACCCTACCCCCGTACCCGGCCGGGTATGGGTATCGGGTACCTGATCGCGACCTCTGGGATGAAGCCATGTTGCAGGCGCGGGTGGGTTGATTCTAGAAACTTGAATTGTGAGAAGAGACAAGACGTTGGGAAATGAGTGACAAACAGTTGCTCACCAGTGACTCACGGTCTACCCGTACCCGTACCCGGCCGCACCAGGGTCGCAAACGGGTACCCGTACCCGGCTGGGTACGGGTAGCCGGGTATCGGGTAGGTTACGGGTATCGGGTAGCCGGTTGCGACCTCTGCGATGAAGGCCTGCATGACGCAGGGCGGGTGGCCAGCACCACACTCCAATACATCCGACATTCGCCACTAAGTGGCAGTGACGTCACCACAGCGCCTGTGCCAGGCCAGGTGCACTTTGAGGCCACGTAAAGTGTTGAAGGCCCGTTGGAAGGTCATGGGACAGACCCAGGTGCCATGGGTTGGCCGAGACGACTGGCAGATGTACCCCCTACTGTGCCAACTTGCTACACACCTACAAACACACACGTACACACATCTATATATACAAAGACCCCCCGTATAGCCTTAACAGACTGTTGGGGCAAGTGTTTTTTAGCGAGTGGCACCTATGAAGGCCGCCACGACACATGGGGCCGGTGGCCAGCACCATGCCGAGAGGCAATGTTGACACACCGCACCAGGTACTCGTTTTAGGCCGAGTCTACCTAGGGGAGGCCCCAGACCCTTTCAGATAATCGTCACCGGTGTTGGCCGCGAGTGGGAATCAATCTCGGGCCACCGGGCTCGTAGCGCAACCGCGCTAACTGCTGCACCACCGCTCCTCACACGGACCTCACACACACTGATCCAGAGGCAGGGTTTGAGTATGTCAGGGTTAGAGTATGAACCTTGAATAGGGTCCAAAAGTAAGGTTCGACTCAGTCTTAAAAGTCCAGGCCCCGAGATCAGTGCCTTGGTTTAACGCCGAGTGAATGTTAAGGGTTTGACCCCGGGTTTAGGGTCAAGCTTAAGGGTCTCCTCCATATGCAGTTCCACCCCATCTTTACCAATTAGGGTTAGAGGCCATGTCCAACCAGTTCACAGACTACGCACGTCTGGCTAAGAGGTTTTCCCTTCCGGTGTTGGTCAACGGCTTAGGGCTGGACCCAACTTTATAGTCGTGGCATGGGTTTGACCCAGTAGTGGGGGTCAGGGTCACAGACCCCGTGTTGGGGTCAGGGTCACAGACCCCGTGTTGGGGTCAGGGTCACAGACCCCGTGTGGGGGTCAGGGTCACAGACCCGTGTCGGGGTCAGGGTCACAGACCCCGTGTTGGGGTCACATCACAGACCCGTGTTGGGGTCAGGATCACAGACTCCGTGTTGGGGTCAGGATTGCTGGTGTCGTGTTGGGGTCAGGATCACAGACCCTGTGTTTGGGTCGGCCTCACAGACCCCGAACAGACAGCTGAGGCTTGAGGTCAGGATTAGAGGTCAGGGCTGGGTCACCACCCCCCGCGCCCACCCCCCTCCCGTACCGGCTCGGCCTTAGCGGCGATCTGCAGCCTCCACGCGGCGCCCGCTCCGAGCAGCGTCAGCGCCGAGCCCGCGGCGCCCAGCAGCCATCCCGAGCCGCGGCTGCCCCCCCATCCTCCATGCCCGCGGCCACCATCGCCGCCGCTGTTCCACCCTCCACCGAGCGTCGCTCTTAGCGCCAGACCCCGGCAGGGCGGCGTGAGGAGCGGGGGCAGGAGGAGGAGGAGACGAGGCGACGGCGCTCGGCCGAGGAGAGCCGTCGACAGAGCGGCTCCCCGCGCCGCGAACGACGCTGCTGCTGCTGCTGCTACTGCCGCGGACGCCATGGGTCAAACACGTGGGTTGGAGGAGAAGCAGGAAGTGGAAGCCGCGTGACGTCACGCGAGGGGGCCGTGGTTTTGTTTTTGTTTAAAGTATTCTTAGGTGTTTTCGGTAAAGTCAGGTAGGTAAAAAATTAAAATTAATAAAAGTAAAATAAAAATATAATAAAAATCACGACGTTTCGGAGGCAACACAAGCTTCCGTCTTCAGGTGGAACCGTCACAGCACGATAGCTGTATCAAGTGATACACAGCACGATAGCTGTATCAAGTAAGTAGCTGTATCAAGTAGCTGTATCAAGTGATACCAAGTGATACAGCTATCGTGCTGTGACGGTTCCACCTGAAGATGGAAGCTTGTGTTGCCTCCAAAACGTCGTGATTTTAATTTTATTTTACTTTTATTAATTTTAATTTTTTACCTACGTGACTTTACCGAAAAAAACCTAAGAATATGAATCCTTGCAGTCACGAAAGCTTCAAATCTAGAATTTGTTTAAAGTCGTTGGGTCATCGGTGGACGAGGCCAAAACTTCAAATCTAGATTGAGTCTAAAACGATTTAAAACAGTGGGGTTTAAATTTCGATTTAAGGCTTTCGTGACTGCAGGGATTCATCTTCTTGGTTCTTTCGGTAAAGTCACGTAGAAGGGAAGTAATAAAATAATAAAAATAAAACATAATAAAATAATTCTCACGACGTTTCGGCCACAACGCAAGCAGCCGTCCTCAGGTGAAGACCAAGCTTGGTGGTGTTTCATTCAGACGCTGTCTCCCCGACAGACCTGGTCTTCACCTGAGGACGGCTGCTTGCATTGTGGCCGAAACGTCGTGAGAATTATTTTATTATGTTTTATTTTGATTATTTTATTACAGTGGGGTTCTTAGCCTTTCAATTGCAGCCTCGCAATCCCGTTGGTTCTGGATGGTTATAAAAAAAAATGTTTGTTAATAAATACGTAGGTGTTTGATGAAAACAAAGTAAGTCGATTATTGAGTTTAACACGCCGGCTTATCATCCATAATAGGGGTGTTTAGACTGGTAGGAACCTTCTGGTTACACCAGCCCACAGGGGATTATTGTGTCCGTCCGTCCGTCGTGCAGGGAGGGGCTGGGTGGGGGGGGCTGGGTGGGGAGGGGCTGGTCACCCCGTGGTGCCCTTATAAAACTCAACGTTTAACCTACTCACGCCGGCTTGTGCCCGCCCTCAGAGTCGGGCATATTTGCGGAATACACCACGCCGCCGTTGACACTGGCCATTGACCGAGCAACCCAACGTTCCTACCAGCTCCCTCCGCAGGAATGTGTTTTTAAATCCTTTGTATTAAGTTCGCTTGCTTGCTTGCGTGCTTGCTTGCGTGCTTGCGTGCGTGCTTGCGTGCTTGCTTGCTTGCTTACGACCGTGCACATTTTTCGGTCGTTTTTTAACCCACATCCCGTGATCCAATCGAGCTGACATTTTCCACACAGACTCGTTGTGCCAGACAATTAATGTTCGTGAAAAAAAATTCCCAAAATGTTACACTTTTTAGGCAAACTTTTTTATTTTACATATATTCAAATAGAACGCATTCATGGCTTTGGCTGAACGTCACAGTGTAAGAGCCCAGAGCGTAACCCCTCCACAGGCCGTGGCGGAGTAGCGCAGTTGGTAGCGCCCTCGCTTCCCATGCCAAAGGTCGCGGGATCGATCCCCGTGTCCTCCACAGGCGAATATATTTTTAAATCCTTTATATTAAGTTCGCTGCCACGCATTTAAAGGATTTATAGTGAAAAACTTTGTTTTTACGGGTTATACTTATTTTATTTTAACAGCTTAAGCTCCACTGAGCAATAATAGATTTTTTTTCAGAAGCGACCTGGTCTATCGCAAATGATACCTCAACGAAGTTGGCGGCTCATCAATTTATAGCAGTTGCGAGATGTTGATTCTAATTGTGGTGGTGGTCGGGGGGCCGGAGGACCCGGAGAAAAATCCACGCGACCACGGGGAGAGAGACACCGCAAACTCCACATATATCCATAATGTATTTATTTGGGTTACATCGCGTAAATATAAATGTGTTGTTAGGGGCCGTCCATAAATGACGTCACGCACCTAGGGGGGGGGGGCGGGGTCAGACATTTGTGACGATGTGTGACGAGGGGGGGGGTGAGAAATGTGACGTCACATCAAAATGCGCAACTTTAAATAAATATAGACAACACGTTCCATTGAATTAAATATACTTTTTAATAAATGTTTTCTCCTACAACATCAGAGTGCAGCGCCACATTAAATACGCACGACACTGACAATAGTTTAAAGCGATTTGAAGCAAGTTTTATTTTGGGGGGGGGGGGGCAGAGCTTTGTGACGTCATATTTGAGGGGGGTTCTGACTTTGTGTGACGCCGTGTGACGATTGGGGGGGGGGGGTCAAAATCGTCCCAAATCGCGTGACGTCATTTATGGACGGCCCCTTAAACCCGCGATCACCCGACACAACCAATTAGTAAGCCTACGTGTTAAATCGAAATATACAGCAGCAGGCGTCAGGGTCGGGATCGAACCCACGACCTCCTGTACACCAGGCGAGGTAGTTAACATCTCCTAGCCACCGTGATGATGACGAGAGAGAGAGAGAGACGCAAACTCCAAATATACAGCAGCAGGCATCAGGGTCGGGATCGAACCCACGACCTCCTGTAGACCCGACAAGGTAGTTAACATCTCGCCATCGCGGCGTCCTGTACATAATACGTGTGGCTTAATTAATCGAGGACACAGCATTCTGCCTTGTCACATGGCAAACCAGAAGCTTACAAGATTACTAACATTCCAACCCAACCCTATTCATTGCCGTTAGTTTCCATCCCAGCTCATTGGATTCCAGATTGGAATGCAATCGGCGCAGACCCAGCAAGTGGCAAGATGTTAACTACCTCGCCTGGTATACAGGAGGTCGTGTGTTCGATCTCGACCCTGACGCCTGCTGCTGTATATTTGGAGTTTGCGTGTCTCTCTCTCATCATCATCATGGTGGCTAGAAGATGTTAACTACCTCGCCTGGTGTACATCAGGTCGTGGGTTCGATCCCGACCCTGACGCCTGCTGCTGTATATTTGGAGTTTGCGTGTCTCTCTCTCATCATCACGGTGGCTAGGAGATAAGAACTACCTCGCTTGGTCTACAGGTCATGGGTTCGATCCAGACCCTGACGCCTGCTGTATATTTGGAGTTTGCGTGTCTCTCTCTCATCATTATCACGGTGGCTAGGAGATGTTAACTACCTCGCCTGGTGTACAGGAGGTCGTTGGTTTGATCCCGACCGTGACGCCTGCTGCTGTATATTTGGAGTTTGCCGTGTGTCTCTCTCTGTGGTCGCGTGGAATTTTCTCCCCATTTAGAATCACGCGATTCGAGTATTTGGCTGCAAAACATTTCCACGCCACTTCGTTGGGGTTACCATTCGTGAGTCAGATCGCTTCCGAATAGCTACATCACTCAGTGGGCCTTGTCCGGTAAAATACAAAGTTTAGTTGATCTTATAGTCCGTTCCCTTTGTTTATAACTTCGGTATTGGAAATGTGATACGAAGCAAAAGACTAAAGATATTACTGAAAACAAATGCAACTGTGATCAATTAAATTAAGCCCCTTTAAAAAGAAATTGGACCCCACATTTTGCCTTGTGAGTGAAGGCAAGACCCCCCCCCCCCCATCTATCACCTCCCGTCCAGTGGCACACTTTCGCGATCTCCACCTGCAATCGTTAAGACGGTGCCAGCTTCACTGGGGGAACCGTCGGGTTTCAGGTGCAACCAATCACGCTCTCAACGTCGATCCTAACAGATTCGAAGATTGATTCTTTGCGTTCGCTTGCATCACCACGCCGTTCCTGTTGGGTCTTATTCTCACCGTGGTTTTAAGACAACGCTGGGCGTGCAACTTGCAGGGACGAGAAATTCGCGTAACAAACCGTGCACCACCATCATTAGATCTCCTTTGCCAGTACCAACATATAAGAATAGGGGGTTTTCCCCGTTTTTCTGGCAACAAAACTGAAATCTTTTTTACAAGGAATCGTGTGTGCATTGACCACAATACTTTGTGGTCAAAATACAAACAAAAACACACACTTTGATAATTAATATATGCATTTTCTTGGTTCTTTCGGTAAAGTCACATAGAAGGGAAATAAAAAAAACAATAAAATAACAATTATCACGACGTTTCGACCACAACACAAGCAGCCGTCCTCAGTTTTATTATTTTATCATTTCCCTTCTACGTGACTTTACCGAAAGAACCAAGAAGATGAATCCCTGCAGTGACGAAAGCTTTAAATCGAAATAAATGCATTGTCCTTGAAACTGATTGGTCCACACCAGAGACAGCTTTCTTTTGAGCCTCGTCTCAATTGGTGTTTGACCAGAGGACGCCAAGAGGCGTACAGCTAAAAAAATATAACCCGTAAAAACTAAGTTTTTCACTATAAATCCTTTATATGCGTGGCGGCTAGAGTCCTCTCGTCCTCTGGCTTGAGATGGCTGCCACCTATGGGTCAGATGATTGTCTGCCAGTATTAAGCAATTGGTAATTAAATATTTAATTTGTTTTCCCTAAACAGTGTTAAATTTAGGAAAACATTTTTTCACGAACATTGTCTCACACAACGAGTCTGTGTGCAAAATGTCAACTCGATTGGATCACGGGAAGTGGGTTAAAAAACGACCGAAAGATTTGCACGGTCGTAAGCAAGCAAACACTGTTTATGGAAAACAAATTAAATATTTAATTACCAATTGCTTAATACTGGCAGACAATCATCTGACCCATAGGTGGCAGCCATCTCAAGCCAGAGGACGAGAGGACTCTAGCCGCCACGCATATAAAGGATTGAGGGAAAAACTTTGTTTTTACGGGTTATACTTATTCCCCTCCACATTTAATACCATGCGTTTAGAGTTTTTGGCGGATATACATTTCCACGATAAGCCACTTCGTTGAGCTATCATTTGCGATAGCCAGGTTGCTTCGAGAAGAGCTCCACAGTTTGTGAGCCTTACCTGGTAAAGCACAATAGGTGAGTTTCACAAAAGCTTTAGTTTTAGACTACCTGTCTGGGGGATATTTAGAACTTGGAAAATGTGGACGTCGCCAGCACACCATGGCCTACTCGCTTGGAACAACGTCCGCGGATCCTGAACCCTTCCCCCCCATGAAGTGTGTAAAATAAGTTTGTTTGGAACAGAGGCTCCCACAAAGGCATTGCAGAGAGGTTGTGGAAAAGTTTGGCGCCGGCTATCGTAGATCGCTTCGGTTCTCTGCGGCGAGGAATTTATTTAAAAGCGGCGCTATGCCTCTAAATACAAGTAGCGCCGCTTAAGCACTCCGACATTTGGCGGTGACCGTGACCCACACCTTGCAGGTGTCTCGGAACGGGTTAACGCGATCAAACCCAAAACCTGTGTGCATGGTGATGGTGGTGTTTGAGTTGCGCCGTGCGTAATGTTTGTGCTTGCGGTGTCGATGGTTGCTGATCCTGCTTGCATTGGTGTTGGTAACGCTGTTGGTGGGATGTGCCTTTGGAAAAAGAGCATCTTCAACAAACTTCTGATTCTGAAAATTAATGGCAGTGCGAGTGGTTGGCACTCTCTTGTTAATGGTTATGGGGGAGCTACGAAAGCGGGGACCCGAAGTTTGATTCCCACTCACGGCCAAGATTGGTGGCGAATGTACACAGCGAGCACGTTACACTTTTAACGCACCCGCAGTATTAACCAGGCTTGCCTTGTGGTGAACTGAACCTCCACAACAAGCGGGGGGGGGGGGGGGGGGGGGGGGGCAGCCACGCTTCTGTTGGGGGGCGTCACTGCTCCGCCCCTCCAACAACTCTTGACAGGACAAACCGGGGGGGACACAAGAGTTGGGCAAACTCCCATTTATTTCTACAAAAAACCCGAGCCTTGGCAAACACCGATCACTTTCCCCCCCCCACCTTAAATCAACCTGACGTACACACACACACAGGTACATCACCGCGGCGCATATCACCGCGGGCAAAGGGTGGGTGGTGATGTCGATCATACAACCACGTAAATAAAATTGACTTCCTGTACGTCGCTAAGTCTTTGCCAATTTGTCTCAATCATGGTCAGCTCCAGGTTAATTCGAATGGGGAATGGATGATGGGGGGAGGGGGGGGTGATTTCATGCGGAGGGCTCTAAATCGCAGGCTGCCGAGTCTGACAGATAATAAAAACAAAAGCACGGATGAATAAAAACTGCTCACGTAACAACACCACGAACAAACTACAAGACCCCCTCTGCCCCCATCTCCTCCCAGGGACACGTGGCGGTGGTGGGCAGGGAGGTTGAGTGGCTCTCCTGGCGTCGACGGCAATGGGGGGGGTGGGGGTGGGTCCCGGTCTTCTCAGTGCCAGGTTGTCACGTTCATCTGCTCTGTTCAACTGCAAAGGGCGGGAGAGAGAACATCACAAACATGACAAACGCAGAACGCTCAGAATTTCCCCGCAGTGCGTAACATACACACGTGTGCGCGCAAGGAAGCTTGCATTTTGCGATGGGTGGTTTAGGCGATCGCCAAAAGCGCTGGAGATCTGCCCAAACTACTGGACATCCATAATTAAGAGGTTTTTATTTTGGGTCGGATCGCGTAAATATAAAATGTGTCGTTAAACCCGTCGCCACCCGACACAGCCAATTGGTAAGGTTTGTCACGTAAACAATGCATGCCGATTAGTTACTGGTTCAGCACATCCGATGTTGGAGAGTATAATAGCAACATTTGCAATTCGCGTACAGTGATGTTTTTCGCCGCGAAAGCCTACAAGCCTACGCGTTATACTCGACATCGGATTCCTCCAATGCAAATACATATTTACACGATTAAGATGCTGACTGGAGTCCCAACGGCGAGTACATGGCGATCCAGGGGATAACCATCGTTGTTTAGGAGGGGAAGGCAGTGGCTATGGCAATGCACCGTGGGGGCGAGGGACATCTCAAGGAGGGCCTCGGTCTTTCTGCGGTGAATTCCACCGTAAAAACACATTCCTGCGGAGGGAGCTGGTAGGAACGTTGGGTTGCTCGGTCAATGGCCAGGGTCAACGGCGGCGTGGTGTATTCTGCAAATATGCCCAACTGTGAGGGCGGGCACAAGCCGGCGTGAGTAGGTTAAACGTTGAGTTTTATAAGGGCACCACGGGGTGACCAACCCCTCCCCACCCAGCCCCTCCCATTTTTGGATGCACGACGGACGGGCACAATAATCCCGTGGGCTGGTGGAACCAGGTCGTTCCTACCAGTAAAATGAGCACCTGGTAACATTGTACGTCACGCTCTTGGGTGACAAAGATGGCTGGGCGTGGTGCTCGCCCACCCACCCCCCTCGTGTAGCCACAGAGGCCTTGACAAGTGCTCGCTAACAGCACTTGCACCAACAACAGTCTGTTTAGGCAATAACAGGGGGGACCCATTCCCACTTTGCATACGTGGGGAGCGGTAGTGTCGTGGTTTCGCGCAGTGCGACAAACCCAGCCCCCCCTCAGAATTCGATTCCCGCTCACAGCCAACACCGGAGATGAATATCTGAACCGCTGATGACAACACCTCCCCCACCGAAGCAGACTCGGCCTTAAAACACCCCGGTGCGTTGTTGTGAACATCAAACATCAGCATTGGAAAGGTAAAGTGTTGGATTCCCCTTCACGGCCAACATCAGTGACGATTGTCTGACACAGTCATAGGTCGTAGCGGTGTGTAAACATCGCCACAGGGGTGACAAAGGCAGCCCGGCGTGGTGTTGGCCACGACGACCTCCTCGTGTGCCAGCCTTCAGGCGCTACTCACCAACAGCATTTGGCCCAAGGGTCTGCGAAAGGCTACCCGGGAGATGTGTGTGTGTTTGTGCGCGCGAGAGAGTCGTACTGTAGGAGGAGAGGTCGATCTCGTCGGGCAGCTCGCTGACGTTGACCTCGAAGCGATCCTGCACGTCGTTGAGGATCTTGGCGTCGTTCTCGTCCGACACAAACGTCACCGCCAGTCCCTTGGTGCCGAACCGACCGGCACGGGCGACCTGGGGGGGGGGGGGGGGGGGGGTAGGTGGACGGACGTCAACAAAGTGAGCAATCAAAAAATTAACCCGTAAAAACAAAGTTTTTCACTATAAATCCTTTATATGCGTGGCATCGGTTTTATTTTTTTATTCATTTCTGTTTTTCTTGAGTAAAGTTTCATTTTTATAGTGTGTTGACACATCCAGAATAATTTTCTGTGTTTAGGAAAAATATATGATTGTGTTAGTGAAATTAATTTTTTCCAAAAAGTGTAAAATTTTGGAAATTTTTTTTCACGAAAATAAATTGTCACGCACAACGAGTCTGTGTGCAAAATGTCAGCTCGATTGGATCACGGGAAGTGGGTTAATAAACGACCGAAAGATTTGCACGGTCGTAAGCGCGCAAGCAAGTAAACTTAATATAAAGGATTTAAAAAGACAAGAGGCCACAATTTACACTTATGTAGAACTATTTACGAACAGTACATAGCCATATCACAGGGCCTCCCTTTGCTGGTATCAAAATATAGTACGGTTAACCCTTTCTAGCAATAAAACAGACAATTAATATACTACCATGTTCACTAAGTATGTGTGGCTCATGCAGACATGATTCCTTGCAGAAGGTTTCCGTTTGGTATTTTAACATCTTAACACAACTGTTTTATCGCCAGAAAAATGGTAAAGCCCATTATTATAGCACGTAGCCAACCGTGCTAATCGGAGGTGCGAGCGAGGGAAGAACTCAAAGACAAAAAGCCGTTCTAAAATAAATCAGCTTTCAATAAAGATTTCAAAGTGCGTTGCGCCAGTACCTACGATTGCCTGCACGGGCACACAAAAGAGGGTGGTTGGCCAGCGCCACGCCCGGCCGCCTTTGTCTCCCCAGTGGCGATGTTAACCGAACATCTGATAAAAGGAGCTTCCCCCGCAAGCTCACCCTGTGCAGGTACGTGTCAGAGTCCTCAGGCATGTCGTAGTTGAACACGATGTTGACTCGCTCGATGTCCATGCCACGGCCAAAGAGGTTCGTGGCCACGAGGATGCGCCGCTGGAAGTCCTTGAACTGCTGGTAACGCGACAACCTGCGGCACGCGCACGTCACCACGACCAACCACCACCACGAGCTGTAGCATTCCTCCACAAGTGTTACTACAACCACCAACAGTGGTAGTGCTAGCACTCGCACGACCATGTTTTTGTTTTGAGAATCAGAAGTTAATTCCCAATGCGTAAAAGCCCATGGAGCTAAGAATCTATTTTCAAGGACCCATCCAAAGACAAATATGCCCCGTAAAGCCTTCAGACTGTTGGGGACAAGTGCTGCTAGAGAGTAGCACACGAGGTGGTGGTGGGTGGCCAGCACCACGCCCGGCCGCCTTCATCTCCCCAGTCAGTGGTGATATTTACACGGCACCAGGCACTCATTTGAGGCAGAGTCGATCTAGGGGAGGCCAAGGACCAGTTCAGATATTCGCCACCGATCTTGGCCGTGAGTGGGAATCAAATTTCGGGTCTCCGCTTTCGTAGCTCCCGCATAACCACCACACCCACTAACAAGAGAGTGCCAACCACTCGCACTGCCATTCATTTCCAGAATCAGAAGTTTGTTGAAGCTCTTTTTCCAAAGGCACATCTCCCACCAACAGCGTTAGCAACACCAACACAAGCAGGATCACAACCATCAACACCGCAAGCACAAACATTACGCACGGCGCAACTGAAACACCACCACCATGCATACAGGTTTTGGGATTGATCGCGTAAATGTGTCGCTAAACCCGCCATTGTAAGGTTTAAATCTTGACCTAAAGCTTTCGCGACTGGAGGAATTCACACTCTTTGGGTCTTTCGGTAAAGTCACGTAAATAGAAGAAAAAACAGAACGCGCCAATTCGTCACTAGTACAGCAACACCGGTGTGTTGGAGAGCCAAGCCACAACATTTACAATCTGAAGGTGAACTTCTCCACAAATCTGGCTGTCGCCTAAATTAAGCTCGTTGTAATTAGTGACCTTACTAATTGACCGAGTCGGGTGGCGGCGGGTTTCACACATTTATATATTTACGCGAACCAACCCAAAAACACCTGTATTATGGTTATTGGTCGTGAAAGCCTATTACTGACCACCACCATGCACCAGCAACAGTGGCCACCACAAGGGCTCACCTCTCCTCTTGCGCCATGCCACGGTGAATGGCGATTGCCGGGAAGTTCTGCTCAATCAGCAGCTGCGCCAGAGCCATGCAGCGCTGCACCGACTTTACGAAGATCACCACCTGCACACAGGGGCACGCCATCACAACCGTTACGCACGCGCTAGACCTCCAGGCACACGCCATCACAACCGTTACACTAGGGGTGGGGAACATCCGGCCAGAGGGCAGTATAAGGCCCGCAAAATCATTTGGTCTGGCACTGCCAAGGCAACCGCATGACTCGAAATTCAATAAATCTAGGCGCATTTTTCATAGCAACATAAATTTAATTTTGTATGGCCCATGAATGTTATAAATATCCAAATGGCCCTTGGCAGAAAAAGGTTCCCCACCCCGCGTTACACAAACACGTCATGGCAACCGTTACAAAACACCTACAGCCACACGCTATCCCAACCGTTACACACGCGCTAGACCTACCAGGCAAACGCCATCACAACCACGACACCTACCATTCGCTAAATTATCCATAAACCTTTTTGGGTTAGATGGCGTTAGTGTCATTGACCCACCACCAATAAGGATTAGTTGGGGTCCCCCTTCTTGTTGCAAGGCGCGACAAAGCGTTACCGTGCAGACTCTGCCGCCAAACCATGGCGAAACCACGGTGGGTGTTTGGTCGATCCGCGTGGCCTGCCGTGCCCCGGTGTTGTTTTTTTTGCCGCACCTGGTTAAACTCGAGCACGTCGAGCAGATCGAAGAGCTTGCGGTTCTTCTCGTTGTCCTTCAGCTTCACGTAGTACTGCTGCAGCCCGTGCAGCGTCAGCTTCGTCTCGTCGTCCACAAACACCTCCATAGGCTATCGGCAGGACCCGGTGGGTGGGGGGCGAGCGGGGGGGGGGGGGGACCGTGCGAGCATTACACGCACACGCACGCACAAAGACAGAGGGGAGACGCCGCACACGCGAGACGACGGGAGGGGGGCACGCGCAGACGAACGGAACCACACGCGCGTGCAGACGAGCCAGAGGCAACCGAACACGCACACACACACGCAATAGACATGGCACACCACCGAAAAGATACACGTGAGAATACGAATACACAAACGGACAACCAACGCGTACACACTACCACCTTGCGTGAGCGCACAGACACGAACAAGTGTACACAACTGCAGAGACAAGCCATACCCGCCATAACCCATGCAAGGCACAGACCACTGCACTCATTGCCACCACCGCTCCCCACTATTGGAGCCTGCTGGGTCTCGGGAACTTTCTCGCTAGCTGTGAAAGCACCCTCAATAAATCGGAAACCAGTGCCATAAGAACACACTTATGGCACATTTTATAATTATTTATTTTCCCGCGATTCACAGGAGATCTTGCGGTGTGCATCAAAATCAGTTCTCGTGATTTCGAAGCGGTGGAAGGACGAATGTCAGTTAAACTTTAGCCCACTGAGGACCGGTGTGTTATGCTGCACCGCCAACACGTCTATAGGCAAAACTCAGCGCTGGCAATATGAACACCGCCAGAGGCGTGCCAGTCTAAACCCGGTGAATCGAAGAGGAATACCAACTTTGCTCAAATGTGGTCTCCTGCGTTAAGCCCGCTTTCATAAACTTGATACTACGGCGGGCATCTCGAGGTACCCGAGACAGGATTTGCTCGGCACTTGGAATACAAGTGGCCCACAGAGCCTATATGCTGCTAAATGTCGTCTTTGACGTTTTCAGCGACACAGACATTTAACAATTTAGTTTATTCCCAATTAGAGGCACCCACTTTAAAAATTGTAGCACGACAGTTGTGCGATCGATCCTGCAGTCAAACTTTAGTCTCCGACATCAACTTTACAGTGGCACGCCTTCGCTGAAGATTAACCATCATAGGTCGTTCTGCCATATACACTTCCACGGGCCGTTACAACAACGTGGTCCGCTCGAGTTCCGAATGGATGCTTTATGTCCGTGCCACGACACTGAAAGCACAATTGGGATCAAAGTTGGGAAGATAAAATTATTTATCGGCACTATTAAAGTATGGAGACATTTTCAGCCTTGTATAACCAACTTCACAGCAGTGAACTTTGGTTATAGTTAAAACCTGGATCAGCGCGGTGGGAGTCCAGGGTCAGTCCTGCACGAAATGGGTTTTGGGTAGCAAGTGTGTGTCGACTGCACAGTGGTACTGGCCGTTTAAACAGTGGTGGGCCAAGACAAACAACGCAAAACTATCTCCAGTAGAACCTGCCACAGCAACTAGGGGAGCAAATGAGCTCTCTTTTGTCAACGTGACCCTCCCATCTTCCTTCCAACATCAACTCAAAACATACGGCAGCAGTCACAACACCAACAGCACACGCCATAGAACACAGCATTCGCCAGCCCGGTGAGTAGAAGAGAGTCAAGCAGTCGGGGAAGGCGGTCAAGTTAAGCGTCAGCCAGTCAACATTGAAGTCGTGACCATCTAGGGAAGTGTGTAAACACTAGCTCGTGTAACAGACAAGGCAGTCAGTTAACCAGTTATTTGGTCAACACCAGTTAAGACAGTTTTTTCAGCCCAGTCAACAAGTTAGCCCAAACAGGTTGGTATACATACACGAGTCTGTCAACACAATCTTGATCAGTTAGTCGAAAGCCATGTCAGGGCAGTCGGTCAACACGAGCTATCATGAGAAGTCCCTGCAAGAACAACACTTGTATAATTAGTGGCACTATCAGGCCAAGGCTCCAATATAGCCACGTCGGCAATTGCCGATTGTGCTGGAAAATTGCCAAAATTTAGCCGGCACTCCCATATGGCGAGTAGTTATGGGGTTGCGGTTAGCACAGCAAACACAACACCCTCCGATCACCTGTCGGCTCGGGTTTTTGAGAGGCCAGGTTGTTTGGCTCATGAGTCGAGAACCACACAGTGGTGTGGGTGAGCGAGCAGGTTTTTTTTGTGGGATCGTCACAAGCACACGAGATACAACTCACGTGGCTTTGTTAGGTCTTGTTCTTAAGACCAAGCAGCCTTAACGGATAACATTGCCAACTGCTGCAGCACAGAACTACAGTCAAGTCTGCAAACAGAGCATCCAAGAGCAATTTGTGTGGAGAAATGGTGAGACAAATGGAGACGTAGGTAGTGGAAGAGGCAAGTGTGATTGTGGGAAGAGATTAACACAAACAAGGCAAAACAGCTCCACATTAGGTTTCCAATTTACTTTTAACTGGTTAAAGTGATCGAGTATAAAAGCACAATTTTAAATAATCCCATCAAGACCTAGGTAATTATTTACTCTTACATATTAAAACTGCAAGTATTTTTTCTTTATTTTTTTTTTATGCATTGAGTCAGCATATGCAAGATTGGGTTAAATTATTTTAAGGTCATAATCCAATACAGTGGCCTGCACAATTGAGTTAATGTTCCAAAAACGGCTCTTGCAAATTGAGACATTTAACAAAGAGTGGCTGATGAGACCCTGAGGGATTCGGTTTGCTGGCGTAAACCAATTATGGACAGTGTCGGTTCTGGAAAGTCATTGACGGAATAGAGCGCTTATTTTATATGTCGAAACGCAAAGCAAAGTTCTGCTTATACCTGCGGCGTGCCAAGGCTGGTTTAACAACCCTACAGGAACCCCAGTGAGAAACAGCGAGACAAACCAGATACGGATATAGCGAGGGGGAGGGAGTGGGGGGGGACAGCACAGACACGGCAGGAAGGAGGGGGGTGTGGGGAGTGTGCAGGCAAAAGGGACGAAGGGGGGGCGGTGTCGATGTCGTTGCCGTTCAGGCTCCGGTAGTGCCGGACGGCCGGGGGAGAGACATCACCACCACCGCCGCCAGCGCCGCCGCTGCCACCACCGCCGCCAGCGAGCCAGGGTCGTCGCGCCTCGGCCACTTCACCTTCGCGGCTCCCTTCTCCCTCCGGCGAGAGCAGCAGACGCTGCCCCCTCCCTCCGCTAGGCTCCCCCAGAAGGTCGTCTCCAGACCCCCCGATGGGTGGACGGCAATGCGGCTGGGCGACTATGACGCGCCAAGAAAGCCGGAGGCTAGGTACGTGGCACGGGCCGTGCCGAGGGCTAGGCTAGCGTTTGTCGATGCTGCTGGGCTAGATGCTCGAACGTTGGGCTAGTTTTTGGTGAAGCTGCTCGAAGGTTTGGCAACGCTGCGCCGATGCTAGGCTGGCTTTTTGGTGAAGATGGGCTTGGACGTGCCGACTGCTAGGCTCGGCGCAGGAATTCTGGGCTGGCTTTGGAAATGTTTGGCTAGCTGCACTAATGCCGACGATCTAGCTGCACTACCGCTGGACTGGCTGCATGGATGTTGGGCTAGCTGCAGGTACTCCATTATGCGCTGGACTAACTCCCCCAAGCTAGGTGAGAATAAGCACTGGACTCGTCGCACTAATACTGAGGTAGTTGCAGGTACTCTGTGCTAGATGCAGGAATCTGTGGGCTTGTTTCACGGACGATGATCAGGCTCTGGGCTGCTGGCTGCCCTAATGCTGAACTAGCTGCAGGAACTCTCGGTTAGCTGTCCTAACAATGTACTAATGCTGGATTAGTTGCAGGAACACTGGGGCAGGGTTTTTTTGAGCTAGTTGCCACTAACGCTGTCCTAGTTGCAGGAACACTTTGAAAGGATCTTTGGACAAGTTGCAGGAAAACTGTGGGCTGTGTCGTAGACTTGGGTGCACACACTAAGGCTGGACTAGCTGCGCTAATGCCGGACGTGCTATAACAAAACCGTGGATTCAACCGCAGGATGGATGGGGCCTACAGTTGTGACGATGATGCTATGGGCGCAAGGACGCGGGACCGCCTGCAGCGGAACTTGCGAACCTGACTCCCGGCTGCACTGTGACGCGACGCCAACGCAAAGCGGAAAGAAAAAAACGCGCGGAAGGAAAAATAACGAAACGCTCGCCACGCGGTCTTCTTCCCACGCGACCCCTCGCGACGCGACCTGACGCTGCCCTAAGCTTCGTGAGCCTACGACTACCCCTGCTTGCAGAGTGGGCCCCACCCTTCGCCCCCCGCTCCCCCTCCTGGGTACAGCGGCGGCGAGCGATGGTGCCCGGACGGTGCTGGGTGACGTTGCGATGAGGGGAGCGAGCAAGCGGAGTAATTACATCTTGCATGAACTTGCGACAGACGGGGCGAATCTCCTTGCTTAGAGTGGCGCTGAACATCATGACCTGCTTCTCGTGAGGGGTCATGCGGAAGATGTCCTGCACGTCCCTCCGCATGTCTACACAGGACACGCACGCACACACACACACAGGGGAAACGTGGTTAGGTGGTGTGGTTAATATTGCGGACGTGGACAAGTGACATGTTAACACCCTCGCCTGGTATACAGGAGGTTGTGGGTTCGATCCAGACCCTGATGCCTATTGTATATTTTGAGTTTGCAGGTCTCTATCCCAGTGTTTTTTTCTCCTGGGCCATCAAGTTTTGTTCCTTCCACATTGGGAATCAAATCCGTTTAGAGTATTTGGCTACTACTATAAATGTCTACGTGATAAGCCACTTTGTTGACTGGTAACAAGTATGGGCTGCGCTGTTGGGTGTGCGGAGTTGGGATTAAGGGCCTTGACCACACACGGCTAACATTGTGACCGCATGTTTAAGGTGGCGGGTGCGCAGCGAGGGTAATGACCGTCCAGGCTATACAGAGGATCTGTCTTTGCAGCCAAGACTGTAGCTGCGAAGTTCGGGGTATGGCCATGTGGGGGTTACCTTGAGACGACCATGTCTAGCAGTGCGAGTACACACTTTAAGATTATCACCGCAGAGTTAAAACCTTAACACTTATAACGACCATGACTTCACTGTTAAGACCAGTATTGTGTTGAGACCATGTCTGCTATTGAGGCTGTGAGTACGCCGTCAAGACCTGGACATTATTGTTGACCACAACAAGGACTTTGGGTTTGACCCGCGTAAACATCAATATGTTAACCCCACCAATCACCCAACACGGCCAATCAGGTTTTTCACGTAAACAAAACGTGCAAGTTAGTTACTACTGCAGCACACCCATGTGTTGCAGAGTAAACACAGAATTGTGATGAATTAAAAGGTGATGTCATGACTTAACTTATTATGAACGTGGCTTCACTGTTAAGACCGCAACTATGGCTGCAGCTATTGAGGCTGTGAATGCGCCGTCAAGACCGGGACGGTATTGTTGTGCCGATTAAAATGTGGCTGCGCTGCTAAGACCACGACGAGGCTGCGGCGGGGGGGGGTTACAACCGGGTCGGCGTTGTTTGCTTAGGTTATGACTAGGCCTCGGCAAGGCAATTTATCCTGTTTACCGGGTAAAAGGGTAAAGGTAAAGGTGTCGACATGCCAAGGGGTAAGGGTAAAGGGTAGGGTAAAGGTAGGCTCGTTGCTTTTAACCTTTTACCTTACCTGCTAAAGGGTTAAAGGTAGGGTAGAGTGATTGTATTGTGGTAAGGTAGAAGGTAGGGTAAAGGTAGGCTCGTTGCTTTTTACACTTTTACCTTACCTTGCCGAGGCCTAGGTATGACCAGGGCTGCGAGGCGGTTACGACCGCGGTGGCGTGGGGGTTACGACCGCGTGGCGAGCGATGAGGCGATGCGTACCGAGTTGCTCGAGCATCTTGTCGCACTCGTCCAGGATGAAGTGCTTCACGTGCTTCAGGTTCAGGGTCTTGTTCCTGGACAGGGCCAGGATGCGGCCCGGTGTCCCCACCACGATGTGAGGGCAGTTCTTCTTCAGCACCTCCTCGTCCTTCTTGATGGACAACCCTCCGAAGAACACGGCCACCTGGGAGGGACGAGACCGCCGCGGTCAAGTTACAGGAAAACCTCGCACTTTCGTCTGGTTAGGGACCAGAGCATGGACGAATGTCAAAGCAGTGTTTTTATTTAGCTCGCAAATTTATTTTGGCCGGTGAAAAACGTACATGCAAATAACTACAGTAACAAAATAACACACGCGTGCGAAACCTAAATAAAACAGAAATAAAAGAAAATAAACAAGAATAAATAAGCAAAACTAAATAAAACAAAATGATACCTTCAAATATTTTTTCTTGCTCAAGTAAATACTACAGCATTATACTATTATCACAAAATAACTATGAATTGTTTACAGTATAATCAAAGAAATAAGTACAGTATTAATAATATATGAATAAACACAAATATAAGAGATGCTCAATGAACGACTTCTATTCAAAGACTGAACGGAAAAGACGACGCGTGGCACTAAAGTGGTGGAAGGTTCGGGATGAAACCGGACGAAAGCGGAAAGCGCGCGGACGAAATTTGAAATGTCGTTATACAAGTAAAACCTTGGATTGCGAGCACAATTCGTTCCAGAAACGTGTTTGTAATCCAAAGCACTCGTATATCAAAGCACTCGTTTATCAGTTGTGATCACGTGACGCTCGGCAGACAAAGCGTATGCACGTACTACTCGTATTGCAAGACCTCGCTCGTTTATCAAATTAATATTTATTCAAAAAATTTGCTCGTCTTGCAAAACACTCGCAGACCAAGTTACTCGCAATTCAAGGTTTTACTGAAATTGAAAACGGCCGATGAAAGTCAAGGTATCGCTGTACTTCCAAAGAACAGGGCTATAACCACGTCAAACCTCCCACTTGTAAAGATGGTTTAATACGTAGGCTTTCGCCATCAGTATTATCCGTAATAAAGGATTTCGTTGGGTTACCTCGCGTAAATATAAGTGTCGTTAACCCACCACCGTCCAATTAAGTGAGGTTTGGTACGTAAACAGAATATGCCAATTCGTTACTAGTACACCGGTGTGTTTCAGTAGTAACTAATTGGATGTACGAGTACGTCATAAGTTTTTCTTTCACGTCAACAAACTCACCCGGAAGAAAAACTAAAATAATTTATATTTGAAGTTTTCGTGACTGCAGGAATCCATACTCTTTGGTAGAAAGATAAAGCACGATGTTTCGATCACAACACAAGCAAGATACAGCAGTTCTACAGCAGTTCTACTGCTGTATCTTTGTACCTGATGACGATTGTGTTGCGATCGAAACGGCGTGATTTATTATTTACTTTTATACCTACACAACTTTACCGAAAGAACAAAATTGTATAAAATATTTTTATCGGCACCGAGGCTCTGACAAGGCCACGCGGGAGGGCGTGTGGAACAGTTTGGTGCCAGCTATCAGAGTGTGGCGGCCGCGTCACTCCGGTTTCCTGCGGCAGGTAACGTCTTTAATAATAACGGCGCTACGCCTCTCGAAATAAAATTAACGCCAAACCGCTCGCGCGTCCGAGATTCGGCGGTGAACGGGACCCCCCCCCCCCCCCCACGACTTTTTTGGAACGGGAAAAGGTGTTAAAGCTCAGAGGGTATTCAGAAGTCCCGAGCGTGTGGTGATGTTGAGTGTGTGTACACGACGGGGGTGGGTGCCCAATGCCCCCTCACCTTCACGGTAGGCATGTACTTTGAGAAGCGCTCGTACTCCTTGCTGATTTGGAAGGCGAGCTCACGGGTGTGGCACATCACCAGCACCGACACCTGGCACGGGAAACACGCGGCGGGTGAGCGACGCAGAGGCGAGCGAAAAGAGTCTCCTTTCCTCGATAACTCGCACGCCCTCGTGAATTATTTATGCATCTATTTTAAAAAAGTGCAAAGTAATGTCACGGCAACAGTCGATAAGAGCACCGTAGAAAAATCTCTGAGAGTATTTCTTTCTCTCAAGCAATAAAACACCTGAGTGCCATCTCATTGTGTGTGTCACTCAAACAACACTCAAATGCAGAACCCTTCTCAATAAAGGAGGGCATCATTTTTTCTTAGAGGATAGGTGGAAGATATTTTCCCATCAATGTTGGCCGGAAGCGGGAATGAGACTCCTTCTCTGGGTTAGCGGCACAAGTGGAGTAACCCCTTCACCACCGCTCATTCTAAAGACTAAACATCCCCCGTATAGCCTTAACAGGCTGTTCGGGCAAGTGCTGTTAGCGAGCACCAAGGCGGTGGGTGTCCAGTACCACTCCCGGTCGCCCTAGTCTCCCCCTTAGCAATTCATTTGAGGACGAGTCGTACCTAGGAGAGGCCCGGGACCGGTTCAGATAACCGTCAAGTGTTGGTGGCCGTGAGCGGGAATCGACCTCGGTTCACCGGGTTCATAGTGCAGTGGTATAACCGATACACGCCACCAGCTCGCTCCTCTCACGCACACGCACACGGGAGCGGGGCAAGAGGCGTACCTGTCCATCGGTGGGCTCCAGCTGCTGCAGGGTGGCCAGCACGAACACGGCCGTCTTGCCCATACCCGACTTGGCCTGGCACAGCACGTCCATGCCCAGAATGGCCTGGGGGATGCACTCGTGTTGCACTGTGGGGCACAGGTAGGAAAAAGACAAAGATGTCCCCCATTATAAGCTATGGAGTCAGGCACGCACACCATCAGATGCAAACGCAAGAGATCCATAAGATTCGGTCACACCGAAGCCACCACTAAGATTGTATTATTTTGCCCCATCTCATCCACCTCCCCCCCTTTCCATGCCTTCCTATTCTGGTGCTCCATATCCTCCCCTGTTTAGTTCCTGCTTCGTAGGACATAGCCAGAGAACACCTGAACCCCCCCACCTCCACACTATGTACACATTGGACTCCAGTCATGTTAACTGTTGAAAATACAAAGAGTCCATTTCATGTGTGTATGCCTACAGCAAACATCTCCCTGAATCTCAAATCCTAGTGTTTGGATGGGAGACCAGCAGCACATACCAGGTGCTGTTGGCAGCGGTGAATGTGCCGGTATTTGACGGTACGCCATAGGGGCCAATTCATTTAGTACGTACGCATGGAGGGGGGGTTAACCCATTTGCGTACGCTTGCGAATTTTGGGTCTATTGACAATGTACGTACGCATAGGAAACGGGGGGGGGGGGGGTTTAGCCTCGATAATAATTTGTCTACATTGGCCTTCAAATGAGCTACAGTTCAGTTTCTTCAGCTGTCAGACAACAAGTACTACCGGGAGAACGGGAGAAGTAGGCCTGTGGGAGAGGTGTCACTTGTATGCCACCGTAACCCTGATTGATAGCTATTATGCAGCTCAGCAAAATAAGTCGCCATGGTACGCAAACTTTATTCTTTAATGCCGCCTGCAGTGGACTGTTTGCTTAAACACGTTAATATTATTAATCCTTGATCGTTTCTGCGTGGATTAAATGTCGATCGTTATCTATTACCCCTGTATACCTAGTAAAGTGTCATTCTCGTGAGGATCCTGACCAAATTTTCACAGAGGAGGCGCTGTTGCTACGCATCATACCCAAAAACACTATAAATGACACTGGTATTTCGTACTCTGGAACTGGTCTTTCGCTTTGGGAGAGACCCCAGATAATTCCAGTGGCTAGATATTAACTTCCTCACCTGGTATACAGGAGGTCGTGGGTTCGCTCCCAACCCTGATAACCTGCTGTTTATTCAGAGTTTGCATGTTCTCCCCATGGTCATGTGGATTTTTCTCCGAGTCCACCAGTTTTTCCCCTCCACATTTAACATCACGCGTTTAGAGTATTTGGCTGCTATAAATTTCCACGTGAGGATAAGCCACGTCGTTGAGCTATTATTTGCGATAGCCAAGGTCGCTTCGGGGCAAAAAAAGCAGCCTTACCTGGTAAAATAAAAAAGTTAATAGTTTTAAATGCCGAGGAACCCAAAGCAGAACAAGGGTTGCCACATCTTCTTGGTTCTTTCGGTAAAGTCACGTAGAAAACATTATTAAATAATACAATATAATAATAAAGTAATGAATTTATATTTTTATTATTTTATTATTTCCTTTTTACGTGACTTTACCGAAAGAACCAAGAAGATGAATCCCTGCAGTCACGAAAGCTTTAAAATCGAAGGGTTGCCACAGTCGAGAATGTAACCCCCGGCACATTCTCGCTCCATCACCCTGCCACCAAATTTCTCGTCTTGGACACGCAAAATCAAATCAAATCACAGAGCCACTTTGGGAAGGGGGCGACGGCAATTTCTTTCACCACCATCCGACGGCCTCGCTGCTCACCCTCGGACGGGTGCTCAAAGCCGCAGTCGACGATTGCCCGCAGCAGCTCCGGCTTGAGCAGGAAGTCCCGGAAGCCGGAGCTGTGGATGGAGACGTAGGAGCCCTTCACCTCTTTCTTGACGGGCGCCTCCGTCGCCTCGGCCGCCACCACATTCTCCTCGTCGTCCTCGTAGTCCAAGAGCTCGTTCTCAACGTCGTTCTCTGCCATCGTGCGAGTAAGGGGGGTTGTTTCCTGCGATGTGGGGGGTGGGGGGAAATCACACGGGCAAAGTTAACGAGACCGGCCTACTAGAAACTTTAATTTAAGGGACTTACCTTGCCTGTTTCCAAATACAACAATAGGTTTTACCATTTTTGACAATAAAAAAGATATTAAAACACCAAACTGAAACCTTTTACAAGGCATGTTTTATTTTTATTATTTCCCTTCTACGTGACTTTACCGAAAGAACCAAGAAAAAGGCATGTCTGCATTAACCACAGTACTTCTGAACATGCAAACGAAACATGCTCTGACAGTATATGATGCACTGTCTTTCCCATGATGCAGCTGCTCCCCCTGAGCTCTCAATGTCCTGATCGTGGCGTTGTCTTTGTGCTGTTCGCCTGTTGGCGTCCTCTGGTCTAACACTTTGAGAATAGGCTCTAAAGAAAGCTGTCTCTGGTGCGGACTAATACAATATCAAAGACAATGCATTTGCTATCAGTACAAGTTTTTTTGTTTGCATGTTCACCACAAGTATGTGTTGCTAATGCAGACATGATTCTTTGCTAAAAGGTTCCTGTTTGGCGCATTAACATCTTAACCGTTTTATTTTTCGATCTAAAGCTTTCGTGACTGCAGGGATTCATTTTCTTGGTTCTTTCGGTAAAGTCACGTGGGTAGAAAAAATAATAAATCACGACGTTTCGATCGCAACACAAGCAATCGGCTGCGATCAATTTCGAGGGTCACCCACGCGTTGCATTCTCAGCAGGCCCACTGCAGACCACCACATCATTATCATCATCATCACTTATCATCACTTGCATTCGATAACCATTAATATACACTCGCCACTTAAGCTCTCAAACCTCCCGTTTATGGCTTTGTTCCGGGTCAAACCCTCCTTCCCCCTCCCCAACACTTTGCACGGGGGTACAAACACCACCAAGTTCGTGTTCAAATCTCACAACTCTTTGGGCAACAACAATTTAGAAGCTTCCAGCATCGGGCAGCAAATTCCTGAAACCGTGGGTCTTGGCGTCGTCAGCCATTGTCCATCCACTGCTGGATGACGGCCATGTTGTTAGATTCGTGTCGTTCTACGTTGGTACTCGAGACACTGACTCTGTACTCGAGACAAACTTGCCACATCTTAACGATACTACTACACAAATGTTTATTATAAATGAACACGTTTAACCATTGTCCGGTCATCGCTATTCACGTATACTTTAGCCTGCTACGACATTATCAGCCACTCGTTTAAAACACACGCTCTCGTCGCAAACACCGACACGTTAACAGTGCATTGCGATTTTTAAAAAAATATAGATTTAAGTCGTTTAACAATTAAATTTGAGGAGAGGGGAGGGAGTGGAACCCCCGCCTCGACTAGGCCTTTAACAAATAGGCCTCCGCCGCGTCTCCGCAGCAGTCCCCAGCGCGTCGCGACGAGATCGATGCCGTGCCCCGAGCTTGCCGACACGACGAGAAGCCGAGTGGAGAGGGAAATTACGGCGGATGGCGACGGATGGTGACGGATGGCGACGGCGACTTTCTTAACACCGCTTACCTGGGGTGAGCAACGCGTACAAGACGACAAGATGGCGGCTGTGCGGGGGGAGGGGAGTCGAGGGGGGGGGCTTTATAAAGCGGATCTATTAGGACCCCGGATTGAGGTAGCCAACGCTGACTGCCTGTCAGAATTGTTATTTATTTTACAATTTTTTGATTGCTGTGCTACGAGAAAATTGTCATTGCGCGATTTGTTGCCCGTTTTAATTTTTTTTTCTAAGGCCACGGTGTATTGTTGTTAAATGTGTTGAGTTTTATTTAATTTTTGGTGTGTTGTTGCTGGCGATGTTGGAAAGCGGGGATCGATTCAACTTGGCTCACGATTCTTTAGAGTCGATACGATTTTGTAATTACGTTCGATTTCTGGAATCGATTCCCGTATCGGACGGACGATACGCACTTGCAAAATTGTTCCCGGTATCAATAAAGATTTACAAATGTAATATTAATAAAAGTAAAAATAATAAAATAAAAATAAAAATCACAACGTTTCGGAGGCAAAACAAGCTTCCGTCTTCAGGTGGAACCGTCACAGCACGATTGCTGCATCAAGTAAGCTTGTGTTGCCTCCGATTTTTATTTGTATTTTTTATTTTACTTTTATTAATTTTAATTTTTTACCTACGTGACTTTACCGAAAAAACCTGAGAATATGAATCATTGCAGTCACGAAAGCTTCAAATCTAGAATTTACAAATTTGATCAATACCAATAATCAAATAACAATCAATACCTGGCCATTCATAATACAGGTTTTTATTGGGTTAAATATAAATGTGTCGTTCAACCGCCACCAAGTCTGCTTTATGTTCACGGACTTGAAACACGGTAGGACAAATTATTCTTTGGTTGTTTCGGTAAAGTCACGTATAAAGATAAAATAATAAATTAAATTATAGCATACTACGACGTTTTGATTGCAACACAAGCAACTATCATCAGGTATTAAAGAAATAGCAACAAAAATCTAACCAGAAAACTATAGACAGACATATAAGCAGACAGATAGGACAAACACCTCAGCCGTGGCAGATCACTGCTACAATTCAGTGGGCTCACATGACCTTGACTTCTCCAAGACAGAAAACAAATTCCCAAAATGTTACACTTTTTAGGCAAATTTTTTTTATTTTACATACATTCAAATAGAACTCATTCATCGCTTTGGCTGAACGTCACAGTGTAAGAGCCCAGAGCGTAACCCCTCCACAGGCCGTGGCGGAGTAGCGCAGTTGGTAGCGCCCTCGCTTCCCATGCCAAAGGTCGCGGGATCGATCCCCGCGTCCTCCGCAGGCGAATATATTTTAAATCCTTTATTTTAAGTTCGCTGCCACGCATATAAAGGATTTATAGTGAAAAACTTTGTTTTTACGGGTTATACTTGCAAGCCATCTGGTTCTCTGCAAGCCATCTGGCTACCATGAGAGATTCGTTCATGAGGCTGTCCACATATACAAACACAGAGACAATTTCAACCGAGAAGATGGATTCTGGCTCAGCAATCATTGGAAGGACGTAATAAACAATTTCGGATCTTAAACTGATTGTGTTCACGTTTACGGTGACTTTCAGACCGCGTTCCTCTCACTGACATTGACTGTGCATCTTTTATTCTCCGCAGGGAATGGATTCTTTGCTCCGCTGCAAGTCTCCTACCACCACTCTCCCATTGACATATTTCGTTGCTTCCTCTTAGTACCTTTCACGTGACGGTCAATGGTATAGTGTATAGCACAGTGGCGGCTCCTGCAAAATCTCTCAGGGGGGGCAAATGTCTGGATGATTGATAAGGATAAGGTCCACCAATGCAATGGCTAAATTAACAGCTTAAGCATGTAAAGGCAACTTCACTTCTTTAATATTAATGAAAAATAAAGTGACTCTTACAATACATCTTGTTTGTTTCTATACTCACTATTATTACAATCCACTCAAGTTTCTTTTATTAAAGATTCCACTAGGTGGCGACAAATTATATTGTTGGATGAAACGTGCTTATGTATGATGACGTAAGCACGTATGATGACGTAAGCACGTTAGTGCGAGCCCTCCCGGAAGCCATAGAGAATGCATTGGAGCGCCCGCCGTTTGAAAAAAAACATATTTGAATGTAAGTCTATGGGGCCACTCGGGGCGATTCTCAGCCGGAGTGAAATCGCCCAAGAAGAGGCGGTACTCCACAGAACGTGACATGACGCTGATTGGACTATATCCAGAGGCACAGTGACGGCTAGCGTAACTCTGTGGTTGAATGACATTGGTGGTGCATCGCCCAATCGCCCTAATGAAGAAACCGCCCCTGGTATAGCATATTGTACAATAATAATAATTATTAAAGTGTAATGTTTAATACAATGTATAAGGTAATATATAGTATCGTAATTTTATAGTGAATATACAGCAGTGTGGTATACAATAGGGTAGGTAGAATAATACATAGTGTAATATTACAATGTATAGTCTATAAGCATATTAGTTGCTGCGGCGCCAAATTATTAACATTCCTTCACTTTATTAATTCTAACCTTACTCCCTTCCCTTTGATACTGCGAATCCTGCATAATGCATGGGCATAATGACTTTAAACCCCTCGCCAAACCTCCTACGCATTTCACAAGTAGTACTAATCGCATATCTGCATTTCCCATAAATATGCTAAATTCCTCTTGATATGCAAATTATTTTGTTAAGGCGCTCTTCCCCCCTCCATCCCAGCTTAAATATACTCTGTCTTCTCGACAGACCTGTTCTCCACCTGAGGACGGCTGCTTGCGTTGTGGCCGAAACGTCGTGAGAATTATTTTATTATGTTTTATTTTTTATTATTTTATTATTTCCCTTCTACGTGACTTTACCGAAAGAACCAAGAAGATGAATCCCTGCAGTCACGAAAGTTTTAAATCGAAAAATAATTATGTAATATAATTATTGTATTATATAATAATACTATATTAGATTATTATTTTTTGCTTTATTTTATTATATTATATAATTATAAAATGTGTTATTTTTATTATTTTATTACTTCCCTTCTACGTGACTTTACCAAAAGAACCAAGAAGATGAATCCCTGCAGTTACGAAAGCTTTAAATCGAAAAATAATTATGTAATATAATAAATATTTTATTATATAATAATACTATATTAGTTTATTATTTTTGCTTTATTTTATTATATTATATAATTATAAAATGTGTTCTTTTTATTATTTTATTATTTCCCTTCTACGTGACTTTACCGAAAGAACCAAGAAGATGAATCCCTGCAGTCACGAAAGTTTTAAATCGAAAAATAATTATGTAATATAATTATTGTATTATATAATAATACTATATTAGTTTATTATTTTTGCTTTATTTTATTATATTATATAATTATAAAATGTGTTACTTTTTATTATTTTATTATTTCCCTTCTACGTGACTTTACCGAAAGAACCAAGAAGATGAATCCCTGCAGTCACGAAAGCTTTAAATCGAAAAATAATTATGGAATATAATTATTTTATTATATAATAATACTATATTAGTTTATTATTTTTGCTTTATTATATTATACAATTTTTATTTTTATTATTTTATTATATTATTATATTATGTAAAATTGTCATTATTTTATTATTTCCCTTCTACGTGATGACTTTACCGAAAGAATCAAGAAGATAACCATACTAACTTCCGGCGTCCGTATCTCGCTGACGTCATCGCTTAACAACCAATCGTATTCGTCGTTACATCGTCACTCGGTAATCGACGGACCAATCGGAGGCGTCGTCTTATCTCGGCTCCACCCCCTCCGCTCCGTGACCGTCACATTTGTGATGCGCCGCTTCGCTTATTCGTCGCTTAAGCATTTAACTTTATTAAGTTTTAGTCGCTTGCCTCTGTAACACCAGCACGTGTTGACGCGTGGCGCCTCATTGAAGCCGGCGATTCACACGCACTTGACCGTACGTGTTGTCTACGGGGGGGGGGGGGAGGAGCGGGGGCCGTTAAAATAGGTACCAATTTGTGATAAAGAGTGTGAATTCCTGCGTTTCACGAAAGCTTTAAGTCAAGATTTTATTCTAAGCCGGTTGGAGCACTGGTCGGTGCTCGGATGGGCGACCTCCGTGCGTAGCAGATGGTCTTTATTAAGAATGCTTATTGTGCTTGTATATGCAGGGACATCATCATTATTATTCTTAGCGATTACAATTTCCTGACCAAAGTTGTTATCACAAGCAGCGGACTCGATTAACCCATTCCTGGGCCTTCGCATGAAGTGCCTTGCTGCGTTGCGTCAACATCGCCACTCGAGGGAGACAAAGGCGGCCGGGCGTGGTGCTGGCCACCCACCCTCATCCTCGTGTGTCATCCCGGCCTTCACAGGTGCTACTCTCCAACAGCATTAGCCCCAACAGTCTTGTTACGTGAGGGATCTTTGTCTTGTTGTGTCTCACACACCTGGTGTGTACCTGACGTTTACACACCAGGTGCGGTGTGTAAACATCGCCATTGGGGAGACAAAGGCGGCCGGGCGTGGTGTTGGCCACCCACAACCCTCTTGTGCCACAGTGCCGGCCTTCATAGGTGCTGCTGATATTCCCTAACAGCGCTTGCCCCAACAGTCTGTGAAGGCGATGTGAATGTGAGAGCGAATGTGTGTGCGTGTATGAGTGAGTGGAGTTTCGATTTAAAGCTTTCGTGACTGCAGGGATTCATCTTCTTGGTTCTTTCGGTAAAGTCACGTAGAAGGAAAATAATAAAAATCAAACATAATAAAATAATTCTCACGACGTTTCGGCCACAACGCAAGCAGCCGTCTTCAGGTGGAGAACAGGTCTGTCGTGAGAATTATTTTATTGTTTTATTTATATTATTTTATTATTTTCCTTCTACGTGACTTTACCGAAAGAACCAAGAAGACGAGTGGAGTTTGTATGTTCTCCCCGTCTTCTGCATGGGGTTTTCTCCGTTGAATGCCACTAATAACTACCCGGTTACCTAGCAGGTAATGCGTCCTGCGCTCTTTTGTTATTTCCTGAATGAAGCTGTCGGAAGCTCGTGGTGTTTTCATTTCG